TCTAAGCATGGTTTCGGGTTCCACGAAGGTTCCCGGGACGTTTATTTTATTTTGATAAAGAGTCAGTGGGGGGTAGGGGGATCCGCCACCTACCCGCTGCCCGAAATACAACGCCACCGGCAGCGGGCAGACGACTGCCCGCCGGGCACCCGCTTCCCGGAGGTTTATCGCCGGCGGGTGATCCTCCACCCACCGGTTGCCCGCTGGAACTTGCCCAACTTGGGACTTCGGCTTCCCCGTTTGATGTTTCCCCGACCCTCGTGGTGTCCCGATGGACTCCATTTATCGTGCCTAAGTCTAGTTGATATTTCGGGTACCGTTCGTAGGATAAATAAGTCTTATATATCGCATGCTAATCGAATTGGTATCCGGTTGGCCTAGGTGGAAGAAGTATGAACCCCTTAGGATTAATCCAAGTATGTGGATGACCACGCATAGGTTTCATTATACGTTTTTCTTCATTTCCCCAATGTGTTAATGTGAGGTTGCATGTGCTTACTATGTGTTATGTGTGCATGATACCCCAATTTGGTTGCGATCAAATTGGTTATTCCTGAGCTGCGGTTCAGAAGCTGGTTGCGGTCAGAATTACACTCTTGGGCTGCGGTCCACCGTTTGGTTGCGATCAAATGTTTTACATGAGTTGCGGTTCATATTCCTGGCTGCGGTCAGATGATCACTCTTGGGCTGCGGTCCATAGTTTGGTTGCGATCAAACATTATGATGAGCTGCGGTTCATCGGTTGGTTGCGATCGACCCCTTCGGGTTGCGATATGAGGTAGGGTGCTGCGGGGCCGTGTCAGAGCTATATGCGCTGACCCTCATGTATGGGCATGCGATTGGTCCTGTGGCGCCACCAAAGTGTGCTTGTGTGATGAAATGCGAATTGAATGATGATATGAATGAGATAAAGTGAATCTGTGACCGTAGGATATATGCTAGTATCTTTATATGCTTGGTTATAACTGTTGAATGTGTTTATCCCTATCTGTCGAGTCTATTCCGGTTTTGAAACTAGAGTTTCCTAGGATATATCTTCCTGCTTTAAAATGGCTTTCTTATATATATATATATATATATATATATATATATATATATATATATATATATATATATATATATATATATATATACGCACTCAGGTGCGAATAAGTGCCTAGGAAGGAAATGCGAACGAATCAGCACGCGACACGTGTCCAGATCTAATAACTTAAAAAAAACGCGGTGGCATTTTCGTAAATAATTGAACATCGAAGTGCAAGTAAAATCTCTTATAAGTGCACCTATTTTCACCTATAAGTGCATGTAATTTTGCCTTGTTAGCATTCACTTTCCGCAACCATTCATGCACCTGGGTGTGCTTATAACTATATGTGCAACTATTTATAACTATAGGTGCAACTACTTATAACTATATGTGCAACTACTTTCACCTATAAGTGCATGTAATTTTGCCTTGTTAACATTCATTGATCTGAGTTCAGCGGGTAGTAATACTCCTGAAAACCACTCGCAAACATTCATACACCTAGATGCAACTACTTATACCTATGTGTGCAACTACTTAGAACTATAGGTGCAACTACTTAGAACTATAAGTGCAACTAAGTATTGATGCTCGGTGTAAATTTTTACTTGCACCTATAATACATTTTACATGCACTTGTAATACATTTTACTTGCACTTCGATGTTCAATTATTTACGAAAATGCCACCGCATTTTTTAAAAATATCAGTGTTTCTCATCCATTAGATCTGGACACGTGGACGAACAGAATCCATTCCTATTTCGCGCCTGGGCGAGCCGTTCGCACCCGAGTGCAAGTCTATATATATATATATATATATATATATATATATATATATATATATATATATATATATATATATATATATATATATATACTTATACGGTATTTCAACGCATTAGAGTGGGTTACCAGCATTATTCGCTGAATAGATATATTTGGCTTTCAGGCACAGACGATTAGCTCCGAAGCGCGCTAGAGAACCCATGGCTTAGATAGATAGTTTCATATTCGGCCTGCGTTCCATAATGATGTAATGATGTTGTTTAAGGATAACTAGATAGTTTAGCCAGTGCATCTGAGTTCTCCAGTTCAGATGTGGCATAACACCCCGTATTCTTATATTTAGTACTGCTCTGCTTGGGATTTAATGAGAATTTACCTTTATTATATAAGTTTTAAAAGTCTTGAAAATCTGGGGTGTTACAGTTGGTATCAGAGCCTAAGTCTGACCCTAGGATAAGACTCTTAAGACCAGACTTTATGACATTAGGCTTGAACTCTAGGTATTTAGGAACATAAGATTCAGGAATCTTAGGACGCGTGGTGAGATTCTGAACCTACCTATCGTCACCTAATCTCCCCTCAATTTACCCCACATTAATTTAAAGAATTTCCCCCTTCTCTTATCACATCAAGGTAAGGGTAAAACACACTAACTCTTCATTCCACATACTGGCCCTAGGAATTGGTGATGTCCTTGCATACTTTTACCTGCCTTGTTACTTATCACTCTTTGATTATCATACTTGTTTATTTGCTTAAGCATAAGTTCCTAATTGATTTTAGGCCATGTTAGGAAGTGCATATTATTGCTTAACTATTTGATCAAACAAGCGTTATTTGGATATCTGTAACTTGATAAAGTATTTTGGGAACTTACAATTAGTAACTTTATTCAACTTATAAGGGCTCAATTGTCCTAATTATAATTGACCAATATGGTTAACTCACTAAATAGCCCGATAAGTACTTACACGAGTTGCATGAAGGGAAATTTTGGGGAACATAGCTTTAACTAAGAAGGGGAAGAATGGGGCATGGGATCCTTATGATATTTAGTTGAAGCCTCCCATATTCCTTATTAATAACGTGATCCCTTGAGTTTTTTCCATGTATTCAAACCCCTTTCGTTGTTCACATAAGTATGGAATTCCTTGAACTTAAAATTGTGCATTCTCGGGGCTTTTCCCGAAGTGATTCCTCCTTCACAGTCACGTTTCAGTGGGGCCTTGGCAGGAGGTCGACCGCCCACCACGTGCCCACTGCCACATCCCAGTGGGGACTTGACAGGCGGTCGACCGCCCACCTCGCGCCCACTGGTCTGGTATGTTTTCTCGACTTCTCGTTTTTATTGATCCATTATGCCTTTGTGTGTCTCCCTTGATACTTCCTATGTGTTTAACATGATAACAATCTAATGCTTGAACATGAAATTCGAATTACCTTCCTAATTAATTTGTTTATATGTCACATAGAAATTATAGGGACTAATTCTATTTCTAGAAATCTAAACCCTCGGATACATTTGCGTATTAAGTTTCGACCTGAAAGTCAATATGAGTGAGACCGGTAGAAACCTAAAACAAGTGGTCATCTAGAAATTATCCTTGGAAAAATATATTTCGTCCCCAAACTATCTTAAAACTATCCCTCTAGACTTTGGTCCATGTTGCATAATAGACCACAAGCTTCCAATACCTTGTTTAGAACCTTTTTACCACTAAGATAAGGACCCCCTACACAAACATTTATACATAAATAGGTATATCACTACTATTCTAAATATGTTCCCCTAAAACTTCTATTTTATATATATATATATATATATATATATATATATATATATATATATATATATATATATATATATATATATATATATACATTCCTAAATGTATGTAGCAAATCCCCATTTACATTCATATGCTACACTTACACCAAAAATTATTATTATTATTATTATTATTATTATTATTATTATTATCATTATTATTATTATTATTATTATTATTATTATTATTATTATTATTATTATTATTATTATTATTATTATTATTATTATTATTATTATTATTATTATTACACCCTAACCCTAATCACCTTGCTTAAATCTTAAACCTTTCATGGCTGCACCATACACGGTACGTCCCTACATGCTTTATATATATATATATATATATATATATATATATATATATAGTAAACTTATGAGCCTATAGAACATCCTCCCTTATTCATACGTATCCATATAAATTGTTACAGTCATATTACATACAACAATATCCCTAGCCCAAACCATACACATGTACCCTAGCTACGATAATCTTATATACATCTATGGGTTTGCCTTAGCGTATCCTAACCCTGAAATATCATTCCGTACAAATTACATCGCTCTTATATATATACATACACATATCCTGAGATAACCATAAAATCTACTTTTCCCCCTCGCATGACCTCCCTGTTACCACTCCTACCTCCCCTAAATAATTAAAAACTTTTACCTCATCATCAGGTCATCAATTAATTTAGGAATTAGAAATTAAGGGTCTTCAACTCTAAAGTTGTTCAGATATTCTAGGCTTCTAGAGGTAAAAAGTACGCCTACTTAAAACCTAATTACCACCGAGAGAAAACTAATTTTCCTAAGTGCTTGTGTGCTTAAATTCTGTCAAGATTTCTCAAGATAAAACCTTTAGTACTCGTGAACCTAGGCTATCTTACTCGTACTTATTAAAGAATATTTGTATGCAAATTGCATGGTCCAATTATAGGTGGAAACTTATATTTTTCATATGTATTGCATGTCAAATCATATAGCTCGCATGTTTATGTCAAAACACACATTTACACACAGTCATGTACATATACACGCATGCTAGACAAAAACGGTATGTTATAAGGCATTCCACTATGCATATGTACAATATTATTAATTACAAGCAATCTGCATATAAGTGCCAATACTTGTTATGTGATCATCCGCCGTTATCCATGGAATACAAAATAAAGATCCTAATTCTATTGTCTCCCCAGAATTTATTTACCCCATAAAAAGCAAGAGTCTTCCTCCTAATTACTTACAATCTTTTCCTCATAATCTAATTTTCACTATTTAACTAATTATTATATGATTTATGACATTCCTGAATTTATATAGTTCGATTATGCCACGATATTAAGTACGTGAAATTAATTGTTAATCATGCACTAGACTAACATGTGGAATAATACATATGTGTGCTTTATGATTTCCATTGGACTAGTTATTATTTAAGACTTAAAATAGGGTCACATGCCTTCACACTCCATTCCCATAGACTTATGAAATTGGATGTTTAGCATAATTACGATTGAACACATATAGGCATGCCAACTTGCAGGTTTCGCATATAACATAAATAGTTAATTATCGTACATGTTACGCTTGTTGTTTTGTAACTGTGAATATTTGGTATAATCTGCTAAGCACAAAGATTAGACATAGATCCTACATATATGGCATCTAGGCTCACAATATACTACACTACATATTAAACGTCTGCATCGACTCATAAATGAGGTTCGCCTGTGTTGATATATGTGCATATATACTTTATAATAATTATGTGGCTATCCGAGTCTGCACCCGCATAGTATTTGCCTCTCATTTAGGAACATAAATAATTATACGATCGGCACAACTTGTGATCCTATATGTTAAATCATTATAAAATAATTAAATAAAGATCATGCCATGTGTAAAACTTCTATGTTATGTACTAGTCACCCATAAAACTTACATATTGTGTGTTGCATATTCGTGACCTTGTTATTTGGTGCATTTTGCCAGCACAATAGTCAGGCACAAACCCAGTGGATCTATATGTGTATGTGTATATACTTCCCATATAATACTTTCCTTATAAACTACTATATAAATTCGGGCTCTTTACCCCAAAAAGATTTCCATGCTTCGGGGACGAAGCTTCTTGTAGAGGGGGAGAGTGTAACACCCCGTGTTACGGCCTTTAATCCCGTATTAATTATTTAATTAATTCCATTAATAATAATTACAAAGGATTTAATTTGATTAGAAATCCCTTTAATTAATTAATGTGGTCCACCACAGATCGTGGACCCTCGCCTAAACTAGAGTCATAAGCCTTTTTTTTTTTTTAAGAGAAATAATTTTATTAGTTATATTTTCTTTATTTTAAAAATTCTTTTTTTTTTAAAAAAAAAAAAAAACTTTATTAATAAAATGGCCGAAGCCAATACAAAGAGGGCTTAGGCCCCACATGGCCTAAACCCTAAAACTAAACTAAGAAATGTAAAGTAGAATAAAATAAGATTACATAAAGAGGCCCCGGGGCTCTAGTATGCATGCCCCAAGTCCTATGCTAGCTATCACTAACTAAACGTAGGCAGGAATATGATTAAACAAATAAATAGACTGAGAAGCTGCTCCAAATACGCGCAGCCCAACTGCCTCACAGCCCATCATGTAGTACCAAAGCTCAAATAGCGAGGATAGATGCCTTGCGTGTGACAAACATGGCCCCTCCCAGCCAGTTGCACTACAGCGACTACACACCATAATGCCGCCTAGCCGGGCTGCACCACAATTGTAACACCTCCCGGAGCGCCATTGGCTGCCCTGTAGAACCAGACATGCCATACAACAGATAGTACCAATAGCACGCTGGTCTAAGTCAAGATATACAGCTAACAATGGCACGCAGGCCTAAGTCAAGATACAAAGCTTAGTGGCACGCAGGCCTAAGACAAAGGTACAAGGTAGATCCCAGGCCAAAATCGATCAACGCAGCGCAAGGCAGCCAATAGCAGAACCCCCGATCAGCACCAGCACGAACCAGAACCAACCCTAACGGGATTAGCTACTATGGGCCAGCAGCAAGCCTGGACTACCGCCAACGGATTTGAAAAACACCTACCCGGCCACCGTTCAGCCCGGGCTACGATGTAATTTTTACCGCTTGCATCGGCGTTGAGACCTGGTCTTTCCCAAAGATGCCTGCAAAGGCGAAACCAAAACAGCCCAGGACCAGTTCATGCCTCCGAGGCCAAAGAAACAGCACCTGCAAAAATAGAAACAAGATAGAACAACCAAGCATCCTGTTCCCATGACCCAACTTAATTCTACCTCGGGTGAGTGTTTAAGGTTATAATAGGCTGACGCGAACAAAAAATAAACCATAGCCCGTCCCCCCCGGAGTCCAGAAGGAACTCAGCTACTATTGGCCAGCAGCAAGCCTGACCAGGTCAACGGATTTGAAAATCCTGCCCGGCACACCGTTCAGCCCGGACTAGGGTGCCCTGTTGTATCGCCAGCACCTTACGTTGAGACTCAGCGCTGCAAGCAGGGCCTCACGGCCTCCCAAGAACCTCACACACTCACTATTTTGAGCTCCCATCCACTCTTTCTTTTCCTTTCCAACTCTCATTTTCTTTCCCTCCAATTCTTTTACACTCCAATTCTTTTCACTCTATTTCTTTTCAATCGTTTCTCATTTTCTCAAATCCATTTTCTTTTTTCTTTTCATTTTCTTTTCCTTTTCATTTTTCCATCTCTCTTTCTCTCTTTTTTTTTTCTTATTTTCCCTTCTTTCTTTTTCTTCTTTCTCTTTTTTCTGTTTTTCCTTTTTTCCATATTTCCATCTGAACGAGCAAAAGTACAAGTACAATCAGGGGGGATCATCAATATCAAAAAACACATAGGGCACATCATCATGTATCAGCAAGGCACGGACCCTACGTGGCAGATCATTGAGGCTCCGAAAGATGGCCTCCCCCGGCCTATCCATCGCCCAGTCAACTAGTGCCTGTGCAGGCATATTGGCCCTAGACGGGCACACAGCAGCAGTAACCACTCCACGGGAACACAAGAAACGGAGTCTGGTCACCACATCATCTAGAAGCCACGGCGGACGAGCAGAGATGTCAACGTAGCTGGCCAACTCCGCCCAAGTGGACTCTATATCAATCAAAGTAGTTCCCCCGGCCATGCACCATTCCAGGCAAGAGAAAAGGACCCGGAACATGCCCCGGGCGTGCTCCCCGTGGCCAGACCACGCAACCCCGTAACAAAAGCCACCCTCCTGGTTGCGCACCACTGCCGCAGCCCCCTCAGCCGCCGAAGAGCGAGAAAGATTGATCTTTAACGCCCCGGCAACCAGGGGAGACCACCTGACCGTCCTAATAACACGCCTCGGCACATGTGCCTCCAAGTATGCCACAATAGTCCTCCAGTTAGAGGGCAGGATATGCTGCATGGGCCAACGCCTAAACAGACATTCCGCCACCCCCTTTGCCACCCCATGCATCACCCGTGCAACGCTGGGTGTGTCTCGGCCGTACATGCACCCATTACGGTGCTTCCACAGCTCCCACAACACCAGATACGGCAACCTGCTAACAACAAAAGACAAAAGAGGGTTACGCGCCCCCGCCCGACCCCATCCTGCAATCAAAATCCTAAGACTCCGGTGTCGCAAGTAGAGGCCGAGGGACGCCAAAACATATTTCCAAACAGCTCTTGCTGTTTCCCCAGAATAAAAGATGTGATCAATAGACTCGGGGACCGGGGCTGGACAACACCGACACCTCGAGACGATCGCATGACCGAAACGGGCCAAAATGTCATCCGTGGGAAGCCGCCCTCAGAACACCCTCAAAGCTAGGAAGGACACTTTAAAAGGAAGGTGCTTGCGCCAACACTTAGCTAAGAGCGGGTCCGGTGCAGTGGGCAAAGCAGGCCTAAGAAAGGCCTTAGCAGAGGAATAAGAAAACATACCGTCGGACGCCACGGTCCAGAGTGGGATATCACGCGGGCCCTGCCCCAAGCGGGACAGGTCCGCCCTAATCCCTGCATATACCAAGTCATCGTGGTCTGTCAAATCAAGCTCGCCATCCCGCACATAGTCTAGAAGTAACTCCCTGGAGTAGGATACCCCCCGGTGTGGATAAAGCCTGCCAAGTGGGCCCAGCCCCGACCAGTTGTCCCACCAGAGATTAACCCGGCCTTGGAACAACCGCCAAGTGAGAACCCCCTCAACCTCATCACGCACCGCCAGCATCCTCTTCCAGGTGTGCGAATCTCTATTAGAAATAAAGAAAGTATACCTTTACTATTCAGATTATGGTTAGGATTCTCTTTAATTAATAAATATGGTCCACCATCGACCATGGACCCTTATCCCTAAAACAAGTCCTTAATCCTATAAGGAATAGAATTAGTAAACCCATACCATTCAGACCCTAATAAGGAATAGAATTAGTAAACCCATACCATATATATATATATATATATATATATATATATATATATATATATATATATATATATATATATATATATATATATATATATAAGGACATAGGAGGCACCTAGAAGTCACACCACAATAGATATCACTACACAAGAATTCCCAAGGGACGCCCCACCACCAAGCTTAGGGAGATCAAAACGAATGAAAATCTTAGGGAAGAACCTTAATAGCCAAGGGATGATTAATTAAGGCTAAGAGGTAACCCATGTCTTAACAAAACCTATTTTCTTTGCTATAATCTCCTTCCTTGGCTCCTTCTCTATGCTTGTGTCTCGATGAATCATTTATGGTATTGATGTTATGATCTTGATAATTGGTGAGATGATTTTATGTGGGATCTTGATGATCCTGATGATGATAAGAGGTTCTTGATAATTTTGTGATGTTCTTGATAAATCTTGATGTTTCTAGATGTTAAAAGATGAACAATGATCTTGATGATTTAAATATGATTAGAGCCCTAGGATGAATCGTGAAATTCGTATTGTGATATTCTTGATATAATTGGGTGGGAATTCGCATGTTCGGGGGTTGATTATACTTAGAAATCATGATAGGATGTGTGTTATATGATTCTTACTTTTGATCCGTTAATTGTCTACGTGGTGTCACCAATTACGTTTAAAAGCGTCTAAGCATGGTTTCGGGTTCCACGAAGGATCCCGGGACGTTTATTTTGATAAAGAGTCAGTGGGGGGTAGGTGGGGGTAGGGGACCCGCCACCTACCCGCTGCCCGAAATACGACGCCACCGACAGCGGGCAGACGACTGCCCACCGGGCACCTGCTGCCCGGAGGTTTATCGCCGGCGGGCAGCCGGCGGGTGATCCTCCACCCACCGGCTACCCACTGGAACTTACCCCACTTGGGTCTTCGACTTCCCCGTTTGATGTTTTCCCGGCCCTCGTGGTGTCCCGATGGACTCCGTTTATCGTGCCTAAGTCTAGTTGATGTTTCGGGTACCGTTCGTAGGATAAATAAGTCTTATATATCGCATGCTAGTCGAATTGGTATCTGGTTGGCCTAGGTGGAAGAAGTATGAACCCCTTAGGATTAATCCTCGTATGTGGATGACCACGCATAGGTTTCATTATACGTTTTTCTCCCTTTCCCCAATGTGTTAATGTGAGGTTGCATGTGCTTGCTATGTGTTATGTGTGCATGATACCCCAATTTGGTTGCGATCAAATTGGTTATTCCTGAGCTGCGGTTCAGAAGCTGGCTGCGGTCAGAATTACACTCTTGGGCTGCGGTCCACCGTTTGGTTGCGATCAAACGTTTTACATGAGCTGCGGTTCATATTCCTGGCTGCGGTCAGATGATCACTCTTGGGCTGCGGTCCACAGTTTGGTTGCGATCAAACATTATGATGAGCTGCGGTTCATCGGTCGGTTTCGATCGACCCCTTCGGGTTGCGATACAAGGTAGGGTGCTGCGGGGCCGTGTCAGAGCTATATGCGCTGACCCTCATGTATGGGCATGCGATTGGTCCTGTGGCACCACCAAAGTGTGCTTGTGTGATGAGATGCGAATTGAATGATGATATGAATGAGATAAAGTGAATCTGTGACCGTAGGATATATGCTAGTATCTTTATATGCTTGGTTATAACTGTTGAATGTGCTTATCCCTATCTGTCGAGTCTATTCCTATTTTGAAACTAGAGTTTCCTAGGATATATCTTCCTGCTTCAAAATGACTTTTCTTATATATACCTAATTTAGTTCTCGATTATAGTATTTTTTTTTCTTTCTTTTAATTTAGTACTAAACAACTTTTTGTGCTTAATTAGGTACTCCACTTTGATGATTTTACACAATTGAATCATCTGTTAAAATAGAGCACATTATTGTAAAATGAAATTGTAGTATAATTAAAATGATACTTTAGTATTGCTAAAATGAAACCAGTGTGCTTGAAAAAATGAAACTAAAATCCAGAATCATACAATAACATATATTGTCAAATGACCTGAAGTCCATTTAAAATAATACATCAATATTATTGTAATTAAACTAGTGTGTGTGGAAAATTAAACAAAAAATAGAGATCAAGCAATAATGTATATTATCAAATGAAACTATTGTATAATTAAAATGATACTTTATTATTGCTATAATGAAATTAGTGTGGAGGAAAAATGAAACTAAAAAACATATCAATAATATTGTCAAATGAAACTGAAGTGTAATTAAAAGAGTTAATACCCAGTTTGGTCCTCCAACTATTAGCTAATACTCGATTTAGTCCCAAAGTATTAAAAGTACCCAATTTAGTTCTCTTACTTTTAAAATCGCATCCAATGTGGGTCCTCCGTTAGAATTTCCGTCTATCCACTGTTATTTTGATGGCATAAGCGTCATTTTAGTTGAGGCCAAACCCGTTTCTTCCTTTGCTTGCCGCTGCTCAGCTGCCGAACGACCACCTGCTGCGCCGGAGCACGTCGGAGATGTATATGTTTCTAGAAACGGTAGAAAGAGAACAAAAATTGGGAAAAATCGTAATTGAAGACGTAGGGGCGATGATCGGCGTAGTCGCAACCGTAGACGAGGTCAAATGTCAACTGTTACGAAATCTATGGTTGTCATTGGCCCTCCCGAAATCTGTAAGCTTTTTCGATCCATTTTTGCATAACAACGACGGCATAGTTGAGCTCTAAGATTTCACCGGAACTCTAATGTCGCCGGTGAGTACCATATGCGGCGGCATGCTTTTCTAGTTCCATTACCAATTAGGGCTAGCACGGACTAACGGACTCAAGCAAAACGTCCTCCCTGAGACGTTCCGTTGTATTCTGGATTTTCCACCGCTTCTCCAACTAAGAGCATCCCTGGCAATGCACGTCTCCCTCCGCATCAAACATTCCTCGATCGCAATGGCGGCATGCTCTCCGCCTCCCTCCAATCGTTGATTCTTCTACAGAAAATGTACAGTTTTTCTTCTTCCGACGACTGGTGAGAATTGAGGAAAACCACGACCAAGACGAAGATGACGTCACCATACAAGGGTCACCGGAATTACATACTATAGGATCCGAATCCGGCTTCTCCAATTAGGATCTAAATAGATTGTAAAACATAGAAAATTTGTAATTCTTCTTCTTGCTATACTCGTTCCCCTCAACTATCTTCCGGTTAGGGCCGACATGCGGAGTAAAGTAGAATCTCTGGTCTGAAAAACCGCTCTGGTCAGACGTAACCAGCGGCACCAGCAGATCGACAAGCAGGCGACAGGGGCGTGTTCCGGTGCCCCTCTCTATAACGGTGGATGGATGGAAATTGTAACGGAAGACCAAATTGGGTATGATTTTACAAGTCAGAGGACTTAATTAGGTACTTTTAATAGTATGGGACTAAATTAGGCATTACCTAAGAGTCGAGGGACCAAAATAGCTCTAAAAAGGGTGATTAACTCACCTTTATGCTTCACTAATTTTGAGAATATAATTCAATGTGAAAAGGCTTTCAAATATTAACACTCATTCTACAGATTATTATATTGGTGTTTTTTGAAGAAGTGATCTCGCTGGAATAGACAGACTGGATCAAGGTCAATAGTTTTAGTATATGAAGTAGAATATGGCATGCACGTTCCAATCCTAAGGGAGATGTTTTGAAGGTTGTAGTTAGTTGTAGTGGCTAGTGGCCGTGTGTATACAAACTCCCTGTAAAACCTTGGTGAACATCTAGTGGATTGGGCTGATGTGAGTTGCCCCGCAGACGTAGGAGGTTTTGCTCCGAACTGCGTCATCAATATCTGCGTACCTGGTTTTTATTTCTTGTCTTCAATTTGTTGTTTCATTCTTCGAAATGACATAATTAATTGGTACGGTAGTTCATATTTTTAAAACCAAGTAGAACTTTAAGACATAACTTGCATTCAAGATTCACGACGTTATTTCAGCAATCCATCCTAGAGAAACAGTTTACAATGAGAAAATAAAAATGAAAGACATAAGAATGAAGGATTTTAATTTCCTAAAAAAAACAAACAGAATCCATAGAATATAATAGAGGACTAAGACCAATATTTCAATATGAAGGAATGGTAATAGGACATCATCACAAATAACAAGTCTGCTTCCATACATCACTTTATATTCTTGGATAGATTTTCTTTGCAGATTCCACGAGGGAAGAATAACAATTTTCTAGCACTATTAGTTGCAGTGTATAGATATTTTCAACCTTCAAAAAAAAAAGTATAGATATTTTCAAAATCACCTGGAATTTTTTTTTTGGGGTATACCTAGAGTTCTACCGTCGGACACAGTGACTAATTCCCTCGCTTGTTTCAAGTCCTAGCAAACTTTTAGGATTAGGCACTATAGGACTGGGAAATTTTCATGAGTTGCTTTCCAGTATTGTAGATTTGAGTCTGCAATAAGCAAGAACTTTAAACACCCAAACTTGCTGCCATCTTCAAGTTTCCACATTGGACTGCTAAAGGCAAATTTTGTTAGCTTGAGATCCTCGAGGTTTGGCAACCTTTCAATAATGTACATCAGTACATGTCCTCCCATGGAAGAAAAGTCCCACTAAGTGTCAACCTTTTGAGATTTTTTGGAAGATCAGTTGGTAAATAAAAGCAGACACTGACCACTTTAAATTTTAACTTAATTTCTAGAGTGAATCCAGATGGATAAGGCTGTCAAAAGCATTACTTGGCAGCTCATTGTCAATGAGAACCCATAGTTTCTTCAACTTTGGAATTGTTGTAAAGTCTATTGTTGTTGGGTCTTGGCCTTTAACTGTTGACCTTCTTTCATGCACAAGACATGAAAAAGATCATTAAGCTTACATGACTTGATTTTGCCATCATAGTTTTGATTGCTAACTTGTACTAGATTTCAATCAACAAGATTGTACAAACAACTCTCTGCCACTTCTTCCAAACTTTTATCCTCCTCTTCCATTAAAAATCCCTCGGTAACCCATAAATTTATCAATTTATTCACAGGAATATCAATGCCCATTGGAAAAACTCCCAAATCAGTGAAACAAACATTCAAGTGACTTAGCAAATGGTTGTTTTTCTTCAAAGAAAGCATACTTAAAAGCTCATTATCATGGTCGAATGAGCTGATTATCTTTTCAAAATCACTAAGCCACAATTGCAATGACTTGTTGACATGGACGCTTTTCGTTTACGGTTCTCTTTTATGTAGCGTCGTCAAAAGATTAAGATGTGCATGGGTCGTGTATGGAAAGAGGTAGAAAGAGTTAAAACGGGGAGTGAGAACCACCCCGAGTGTCGTACTCAAGGAGTTCTAAATTGGAAGTGTTGAGTGAGTGATTTGGTAGGGATTTTTGAGCTTGTAGGTTCTTGGGTCAAGGAGTTGCATTATCAAGAGGGTTGGTCACGAAAATTAAGCAATAAAACATTAACAAAGATGAAATGAAAGAGAAAACCGGGTTCGAATTGTGTGCGAAGAATATTGTGTGTTCGACTAAGCTAAAGGTGAAGTGGTAGGTTGATGGTGCGGCTCTAGTCAACAGAGACGGGTGTTAATGCGTAGCCTTACCGGTCTAAACGCCTCCTGCAGATAGAGATGCCACCCAGGTGTGCACTTCTTTTATGAGGCAAATAAGCAAACATCTTGCCTACACCCCTTTCCGGGCCACCATCCTACCGGATTTAGGGCGGGAAATGGAAGAGAAAGGATGCTAGGGTTGTGTCTCAATCTCTTGACAACACCACTCTTCCTAGATCTACAAGCATGTGGTGCGCACGCACATACAAGAGTCATTACAAGCATTCCTCTTCCAACAAGACATACAAGCCACAAATTCAACCACCACAACAATCACAAATCAAAACAAGTCAAACATCACAAATACAATCTACACAACAATCCTCACCCCTAGGAATTTAGCCAAGAATTGTAAAGATCAAGATCAAGCAAATAAGAGATAGATGAAACGTAAGATTAAGCAATAAAGAGTAGAGATTAGATTTCACCAAATCCAAGCAAGATTTCATCAATAGAGTGTAGGAAATGTAGATCCAAGCTATCATTCACTTGAATTCTTCCAACCTCCTTACAAATCTAATTAAATATTGGTTATTCTTCCAACCTCCTTACAAATCTAATTAAATATTGGTTAAACCCTAGAAAGAAAAATAGAAATGAACTACCTAGATCTAAAACTACCCTAAGAAAACTTCTCTCTAAAAATTGGTCTCTTCCAACGAATCTCATTTTTTTGCCTTAAATACTAACTTTTGGTTCGGCACCCTATTCACGCACGGCGTCACGCCGTGACGCCGGCGTGAATAAGGAATAATCCCTTCCGCCCAATGCTTTGTCCGGCTTCTCTATTTCTGGTTTACTTGGTCTTCACGCCGTGAGGGGGGGGGGGATGGGAAGTAATTCCCATTCTGTCCTTCTCTCGTGCGTAGTCCTTGTGTGTTCGGTCCTCGTTCGCGCCCCTTTCTCGGCCATGATCATTTTATCATTCTCTACCACTTTTTCTGTGCACAAATACCTGAAAACATATAAAATAAAATCGGGAAGGTATTTCCATACTAAATTGCATTTTAAGGATTTTCTACTCCAAAGCACAAGACTCTTATATGAAAATACGCACAAAACTCCTATAAAAGGCTCCTAAAAACTAGCATATTTTGAGGCATATCACAAGTTTCCACACTTTAGTTTGCTTGTCCTAAGCAATTTCACAATTAAGAACTGATAATCTCAAGATTTGCTTTTGAAACAAAAACTTTTGGTGCACCACATGCCTCTTTTAAAGAACACGTGCTAGACAAGCATAAGAATAGAATCCCTTGAATAATTTCAAAAATGTGTAAATCATGTACCCGTCAACAACTCTTGGAATATTTGACAAAATTTTCCCCTTAAGAAGGTAAAAACATTTAAACAAAACAAGGTGACTCACTTTATACACCACTAGTCAAGCATGCAATCCAAGGTGGGGAATTCACCTCTCATTTTACAAAGGCCTATAGCCGAGCCACACTAGTGGGAACGATGTGCACAACCCAACTGCCGTCCAACCTTATATCGCCAAGGTCCTGTACAAAAGTTAAGTGAAAGGTTTGGTATAGACCGCTCACCGACTTTAAGCCAATGTCCAGTCTCCTCCGGCACAGAGCTCTGTGTTTTAACCCGGGGAGACTTTTCATGGTCCCGACTTAAGCGTTGGTTCTCACCTGCCTCCACCCTTATGCCAAAGATTGATTCCCCGCGACATAGATCTCTATGTTTTAGCCTGGAGGAATCTTTCGTGATCCCGACATAAGCAATGGCTCCCTCTTTTCACTCATATATTTTTTCCTCTTTTTTTTCGTTGGGCAGCCATTTTTGGTCTTGCCTTTTTCTCTTGTAATCCCCTTCTTCTTTCACTCATACTTTTTCATTTGGAATTTTTTTCAATTTTAACCACAAGGCTCACCTTTTGCTCCATACCTCACCAAAAGATTAATCATTTCCGACCTTGCATTATTATCTTTAATTTCTACGGTTGGAAGGTGCACACTCCCACTTCGAGGGATCGTTTACTACGGTCTAAACAAAATATGAGGTGAACTATCAAATAAGCATGCAACAAATGTAACCCTAGTTGGGTTCTATACAATCCTTAAGGTGTAAGAGAAGTAATTTTCAAAGATATTCCAAAAATTTAGCTGAATAAGGAATCATAAAACACATTTCCAAAATAATGCAACCAATTCTACTCTTTTCTAGTCATATGCACTATCTAATGATCAACACATGGTATGCCAAAAATTTTCAAATTTAAGCACAACGTGCGTCCTTTCCACACATTAGAACAACATCGTCCTCGATGTTCATTACTGTGGATGCAAGGGTGGGAACTAGAACGGGCAGGTAAAACATAGTTTCCCTTTCCACACTTTAGAAACGTAGTGTGGGATGTCCTTGATTGTTCACAAACCCAAAAACTAAGCCTAAGGAGATTGTCCCTTTCCACACTTTAGGAATAGGCAATGGGACTCAAGGGACAACAAAGCGTGCAAAAGATTAAGTCTAGCTACTAGCACAGGAAAGTACTTTTCCACACTTTAAAAACAAAAACTGGGGTAAAGATAAAGGATTAGAGAAAAGAAACCTCCTTCATTGTAGGAGATATTCCTCAATCTTGTCATTAAGAGTCTTTGCGCCAGCCTTGCTATGGACAACACAAATTGGCAATGAAAGCGTTAGTGGCAAATGTTCAAAGCGGCTAAATAAACTGTAAGAATAGCACAACATTCTTACTGTTCCTGTTAAACACAATAGCTGGGCATACAGATAGATAGGCAAAAATGATTGATAAGAGGAAGTTCAAAATAATCATTTAGAGATAGTTAAGCTAATAAACTGAAAATAGAAATGTAGTTAAACGTGAAAAAGCAAGAAAGTAAAAGTACTCAAGTCGGCACCCCACGCATAGGGTACCTAAAGTTCTAAAATCCGAGAACCACAGTCAGATCAAGAATTCCAGAGTCAAATAAGCTCATGAACACAAGGAAACCCTTCAGACATTTGGAGGATCATTGCTCGGGTCCTGGGGTAGCTGGGGAAAATAGGCGATGAAGCGTGAATCCACATAGGTCTAGAAGCTGTCAAAGCGCGCATCAATATGGGACTGGAGACTGTCGAACCTGGTATCCACATGGGTCTGGAGGGCATCCCAACGAGCATCATTCCTCTTCGTCTGCTCAATACGTAGGTTGTACTGGAAACGGCGTAGTGTCGCCCAATCAACAACCTCCCCATATTGTTCTGGGATGTCATCATCGGCACCTGGTTCTTACGGTGCCTCCTCCTTGACTTGGACTCCCTGGTGTGCTACTACCCCAGCGTGCTCGAGATCAAGTCTCGTTAGAGGTTCCATTTTTGCCTTTACCAACTCGCGCCCTAGTGTTTTGTCCAATCCTAGTCCCTGACATAATTAGGTGAGGAATGGGCCAATGAAAATATTCACTGATTTGGTATGACTCTACGTCGCTAACCATTTTCTAGCAGCTAAACCCATATTGATATACTCCCCACGGTCCATGCTTCACAGAAAGAACAGATTAGTGCGATCGGAATCTCGCTCGGGATGTCTGCCCAGAGAAACGGCGGCACATGTTCGGGAGATGGTTTATCTAGATTATAGATGGAGTTGCGCACTCGTCGATCAGATTGGAGTTGGAAGAGTCAGGTCTGCCATCGCCCGCTTAGCGAGCCCTTAACTATTATGAGCGGTAATCGGATACATGTATGGCGATGCTCTGGAATTATTACGTGATGAATGTCTAAAACTAATGATTTTTCCTTGTGCATTTTAATATTTTTGCTTGTTACTCATTATATTATAGAGTCATTTTGGTCACTTATGAATTTATTGCGTGTGTTAGGTGATTTGAAAAAGAAATGGTTTTTTGAAGCATTCTATGAAGTATTTGAACAAGTTTTTGGTGTCACCTTAACACGAGGATACTTTTGGTTAACCAAAGTGATGATGTTTAGAGTTTAACACGTTTTGGGATGGATCATGGCGTGACCTGAGGCAGAGGATAGCACTTAAGTGATCACCGACACAATCGAAGGCGTACCCGGCTAGCCGCGTCGTGTCCACACCCGTAGTTACCAGGCAAAATTCACTGCATGGCCGTGGCCACGGCTGTGATCGCCAGGCAGTGTATTCTGCCTGGTGGCTACGGTTGTGGTCACCAGGCAGTGTATTCTGCCTGGTGGCCACAGGTGTGGCCACAGCCGTGGCCACTGGGTAGATGTTTCTGCCTTGTGACCACGGGTGTGGCCAAATCCCTGTTTTTTCTTGCAGCGCGATTTGGCTCTTTTTAAAGGGAACTTTTCCACCCTTTAAGAAACTTTTCATTTCTCTTTCACTCTATAACTAGGGTTAACTTTAGAATAGCTTAGATAGGTGTAGATTGGTTGTTTCTTTCCATTTCCAAGCTCAAGAACGTTGCAAATCTTGGATTTCAAGGCATTAATAGAGAAGTGTTCTTTTTATCTCTTCTCATTACTTTTAATCTATGCTTTCAATTTCTCTTTTAATATTGTGTTTCTATTGTTATATTATGAGTAGTTAAGTGTTTTGGGACTAGGATTTGGTTTGATTTCTTGCTATTGATGCCTATTTGAGTTGTATTGCATAAAGGGGATTATTTGGGTGCTCTAGGGTTAGTTGTGTGATTTGGGTTTGTTGTGAATTTGTGTATAATTGTTGGATCTCAATTATATGCTTGATTTGGAGTGTGTTTGTTGCTACGAGAGTAGAGCTTGTACACTAGCCACACATTCACACACTTATTGCCCCATACGAGAGTATTTCGGGTATTAAGGAGAGTTTATGCCTTGTGTTCTTGCTTGGGCAACCTTGGGTTGAATTGCCACGACAGTGGAGTTTAAGGTGAGGTTGCAAGTCCAAATAGCTACGAGAGTGGTATTTGGACACTTTTGTGCATCTCACTTACCGTATGCCTTGATTTAATTCCCTAATCTTTAGTATAATATTTGGCATCTTAGCTTGAATCAACCAAGTCCCGGTCCTTTGTTTTACTTGTCCTTTTTTTATTAACCTAATCATATCAAACCATCTCCTTATCGATAGGTCTAGCTTCTAAAAGAATAGTTTTAGCTTGTGCTTAACTCCGCTTTGCATCAATTCCTAACATTACAAGAGCCATCTCCAATGGAACGATATCTTAACACTGTACTATAATTTGATACTTGATGGATGCGTGGAAAATGTCCTCATCAAATTTGGCGCCGTTGCCGGGGATGGCTTGGTTTTGATTGTTTTGTGGTAGTTAACATTAGTGAATGACTATTCTAGGAGACTAGACCATTTTTTTTCTTTGTTTTAATTTTATTTTACTTTTCTTACCTTTTGCTCTAGTTTTCTTTGCTTGAAGGGGCATCTTTGAACTTATATGCACACAAGATCCAAAGGAGTTGGAGGTTTGCAACCACTTGACTTGGAAATTGAGAGAGGTGTCAAGCAAAGGAGAAAAGAACATCGTGCCATTCTTCAACAACAAAGAGTAGCCATGGAGAGCACAAGCCAAGGAGTTACATGTGATACTCCTGAACAAGAAGGGGAACACCATGTTCCAAATCCTCAAAATGATCCTAGGAGGGTTCCGATTCAAAATGACTATCAACAAGTCCCTATTGAAGAACATGCTCGTATTCCTTCTCAAGTGCCTAGTCCTCGACATCAAGGGATGCCTCAACAAGGCTTTCAACCTCATGAAATTCCACCTCTCGGAGATGCACCACAAGGGAATCATCCTCATGCTCCACCGCCATACCATTATCCATATCCACCTCCCCCTCCTTATCACTATGGATACTATTATCCACCGAGACCACCACCACAACCTCAAGTGCCCCCGAGCTCAAATGCCACAACCTAGAGGTCCCCAACAAAGGAGGAGATTGCTTGATTATGTTGCGGGGGATATTGATGAGGAGGATGGTATCTACTATCCGGGAGTGGAAGCGAATAACTTTGAAATAGCCGGCAATGATTTCCTTGTTTTCTAATAATCAATTTGGAGGCTCAAAGAGTGAAGATCCTACAAGTCACATGAGGCAATTTCTAAGGTTTTGCAAGACCTTGAAGATTAATGGAGTTTCAGTTGATGCCATCCGATTGAAGTTGTTCCCATTCTCACTTAGAGATGATGCACAAGTGTGGCTTGATTCTCATCCTGCCGATCATTTCCAAACTTGGGACCAACTTCATCATGAGTTTATGAGAGATTTTTATCCACCATCAAAAGCTTCAAGGTTGAAGAAACAAATCCAACAGTTTAGACAAATGCCTTCTGAGTCTTTGTATGAAGCATGGAAGAGATACAAAGATCTACAAAGACAATGCCCTCATCATAATATGTCTACTAGGGATTTGATTGTTTCTTCCTATGAGGGTCTTTCTGATAACTCTAAGGTCATTGTGGATTCTTCTTCAAATGGTACTTTCATGGAGCTAGAGCCCGATGATGCCAAAAATTTGCTTGACAAGATTTGCTCTAATACTGCTTATTGGTATAATGAGAGGTCTAATCAAAAGCTTGGAGCCGGGATTTATGAGATTGATCAAAGTTCTGCTTTGGCTGCCAAGTTAGATTCTGTTGTGCACATGGTTCAGAAGATTGCTCAGAATCAAACTCAACCACCGGTAGTTACCACCCCTCCGGTTCCTACTCATGTGCCAGTTTCTACCTCCACACTATCACCGGTATCACCTTATCACACTTATGCTTCTACTATATGTTGTGAGATATGTGGGGGTGGTCATGCTTTAGTTGATTGCTATATTCTTGAGACCGGTTCACAGAGCTCACAGGGTTCACATGGTACTATGATGGAGCATGTTGATCATGTTGGCTATGGGAGATCTTCAGGGCCCTATCAAAGGAATTTCCAACATCAAGGCAACACTCATCCTGGTTTTTCTTGGAGCAACCCATCAGGGGCTACTAATCCTGCGGGTGTTGCTAGAGGGTCACTGTAACACCCCGTGTTACGACCCCTAAAACCAATTAATCATTTAATCATTTACCCAAAAGAAAGAATTAAATTCCAGTAATTAATTAAGAAAGGTCCACCATGGTCCATGGGCCCTTATCCCTAAAACCAATCCCCTAGTCCTATAGGAAATAGAATTAGCAAACCCATACCACTTGGACCCTAATTAGGAATCTTAAATATATAAATAGGGGGCCTAGGAGGCACTTAGAACCCACACCACAATAATCTCTCACCACACAAGAAGTTCCAAGAAATCCCCTAGGAGAAATCAAGAAAGAAGGAATCTTAAAGAAAGACCCTTCATAGCCAAGGAAATTAATTAAGGCTAAGAGGTAACCCATGTCTCAACAAAACCTATTTTCTTTGCTATAATCTCCTTCCTTGGCTTCTTCTCTATGCTTGTGTCTCGATGAATCGTTTATGGTAGTGATGATATGATCTTGATAATTGGTGAGATGATTTTATGTGGGATCTTGATGATCTTGATGATGATAAGAGGTTCTTGATGATTATGTGATGTTCTTGATAAATCTTGATGTTTCTTGATGTTAAAAGATGAACTATGATCTCGTTGATTTAAATATGATTAGAGCCCTAGGATGAATCGTGAAACTCATATTGTGTTATTCTTGATATATTTGGGTGGGAATTCGCATGTTCGGGTGTTGATTATGCTTAGAAGTCATGATAGGATATGTGCTATATGATTCTTACTGTTGATCCGTTAATTGTCTACGTGGTGTCATCAATTGTGTTTAAAAGTGTCCAAGCATGGTTTCGGGTTCCACAAAGGATCCCGTGACGTTTATTTTGATAAAGAGTCAGTGGGGGGTAGGTGGGGGTAGGGGGACCCGCCACCAACCCGCTGCCCGAAAAGGACGCTGCCGGCAGCGGGCAGGCGACTGCCCGCCGGGCACCCGCTGCCCGGAGGCTTGTCGCCGGTGGGTTGTCCTCCAACCACCGGCTACCCGCTGGAATTTACCCACCTTGGGTCTTCGGCTTCCCCGTTTGATGTTTCCCCGATCCTCGTGGTGTCCCAACGGACTCTGTTTATCGTGCCTAAGTCTAGTTTGATGTTTCGGGTACCGTTCGTAGGATAAATGAGTCTTATATATCGCATGCTAGTTGAATTGGTATCCCGTTGGCCTAGGTGAAAGAAATATGAAACCCATAGGATTATTCCTAGTATGTGGATGACCACGCATAGGTTTCGTTATACGTTTCCTCCCCTTTCCCAATGTGATAATGTAGGTTGCATGTGCTTGCTATGTGTTATGCACTACACCAAATCAGGCATTTAGCGACGGTTTTTTTTGCGTTTAGCGGCGGTTTCAAACCGCCACTAGTATGTTTAGTGGCGGTTATTCAACCGTGTCTAAATAGTGTGTCGCGAAGCATTTAGCGGCGGTTTTCAACAACCGCGGGAATTAATGGAAAACTCATTTAGCGGCGGTTTTGAGTGCATTTAGCGGCGGTTACAAAACCGCCGCTAAATATATATATTTATTTCAAAAAATTTAACGGCGGTTTTGTAACCGCCACTAAATATATTTATTTATTTGAATAAATTTTAGCGGCGGTTTTGTAACCGCCGCTAAATATATATATTTGTCATTGTAAAACAACTTGGAGAGTATTTTCCATTTTCATTAGGCCAAAGGTCATCTCTTATACCCATTGACACTAAATCCATTCGAGCATTTAGATTATCTTTTGATCTTGCAGGGTCATTTAGCAAAGTAAACAACACATTGTCAAAAACATTTTTTTCAATATGCATGACATCAAGGTTGTGGCGCAACAAATTGAATTCCCAATAAGGGAGTTGGAAAAATATACTTCTCTTCTTCCATTGTTGCGTATCACCATCTTCAACTCTTCTCACTCGTGATCTTTTCCCCTTCTCAGTCATTTCTAGGTTTTTCCCAAATGTAATATTGATATCTGCAAGCTGATTCAAAACATCTGAACCTGACAACATCTTTGGCGGACTTCTCAAATCTTTGGTTCCATCAAATTTAGAGTTGTGATGTCTATACCGATGAGAAGACCCTAAGAACCGATGATGACCCATAAAACACCACTTCCTACTATGTGGAAGGCGATTTGGCAAAAAATCAAAGTTGCATGAGGGGCATGCTAGCCCTGTATGTGTATTCCACCCAGATAAGTTACCTAGCCCAGGAAAATCACTAATGGTCCACATTAGAGCTGCATGTAGTTTAAAAAACTGACCCTGTGAAGCATCAAATGTTTCTATTCCAAAACTCCACAACTCATTTAACTCTTTAATCAATGGTTGCATGTAAATATCTATATCATTCCCTGGCATCTTTTTCCCAGGAATAATCATAGACAAAATAAATGAGGTTTGTTTCATACATATCCATGGAGGCAAATTATAAGGAATTAAAATCACAGGCCAAAGTGCTATGTGTAGAACTTTGATGTCCAAATGGATTGAAACCATCCGCAGCTAATCCAAGTCTAACATTTCGTGGGTCAGCAGCAAATTCTACATGGACTTCATTAAATCGCTTCCATGATTCAGAGTCTCTAGGATGTCGCATCAACCCATCTTTGTTACTATTCATAGCATGCCATCTCATATATTCAGCAGTTTTAGAAGACATAAACAACCGTTGCAACCTAGGCTTAAGAGGGAAGTAACGCAACACTTTAGAAGGTTTCTTTTTAAACTTGCTACCACAACGCACATCACCACCATTCTTCCCGTTTGGTTGTTTCCATCTTGAAGTATGACATACTTTGCATGTTTCTGCAACTTTATCATCTCCCCAGTATAGCATGCAATCATTTGGACATGCATGAATGCTAACATAATTAAGACTAAGTCTATTGATGGTTTTTTTTGCCTCATAGAAAGAATCAGGAAGCCTTGCTTGTTCAAAAGCATCTTTTAACAATTCAAAAATCATAGACATTGCTTTATTGCTTATTCCACCCAAGCACTTGATGTGGTACAACTTCAACAAAAATGATAATTTTGAGTACTTGCTACACCCTTCATACAACTCTTGATTTCCATCTTTGAGCAATTCATAAAATATTTTACTGTCTTCACTATCCTCTCTAGGTAATACTCCATCCCCAAGTAGTGTTTGTTGTGATGTTGAAGGTTCATTTATACCATGTGAAATATGTGCAAAAGCATCATGAATGATATTTACTTCAGGATTCTCAATTTGCACATTAGGAGTGCTACTAGAAGTGTCTAAAGATCCCCCTTCACCATGCCAAATCCAATTAACATATCCAGGTACAATCCCATCACAAATTAAATGTTCTTTCACGTCAAATTTATATAACTAATACCTAAATTTACACTTCACGCAAGGACACAATATTCTTCCTTCAATACATCTATGCCCCAATTGCAAAATCAATTAATTTGTTTACCCCTTCTATATATTCCAAAGTATTTCGCTGCAAATTAACCCAAGATTTATCCATGCATAATCTCTATATGAAGGATTTTTCAAACTTTAGTAGTTTATCATACAAGATTTACAAAGAGAAAGAAAGATGAATTGTCATATGTATAGAATGATAAGACCACATAAATATATGCATATAGGGAGAGAAAGCGGAGGATATATAGAAAGATTAATTTTAGGGATGCATCCTGTTTTCTAATGTGAATTGCTTTATATGTTGTGTTGTGTTGTTCCAACATTGAGATGTGGGTGAAAAGATGGAATAACCCTAAAAATAAATTAACTTATGATTTAAGATGGTTAAAGAAAACAGCTGGTAAAATGGTTACTAGCATTTTATCTTATGATTTAAGTTTCGTTGTTAAAATAGCGGCGGTTAGTATAACTGCCACTAAATAAATATTTAATGGCAGTTTTATCGAACCGCCGCTAACTAAACGTAGCTAAATGTCTAGTTTTTTGTAGTGATACTTGCTACACATAGAAACCAGAATTAGGTTAACAATCAGAGGAGAAATAAAACCATGTATCAAGATAAATGAAGAACATGCAGAGAGAATTTACTTCAAAGAATCACAAATAATTAAAAGGAACAATTGCTAAAAAATGGACTACTAACTTGAACAAGGCAACAGATTCATGCTTATATATATATACAGAATTTTGATGCAAAAAAGGGAAGGAAACTCACTCAAGAATGTATTCAGGTTCATGCATAAAGTTTTTCAACCCTGCTTCAAACACATTACGTGCCACCTGCAGGAATACACAAAAATTATAAAATACACAAAGGGGCCAAAACATAAAAAGAACCAAAAAAAGTTTCAAACCTCATTTAAAACTTAGACACACTAGAATTGAGAATTTGAGGAATTAGTTCACCTTAGCATATATCCTTGTTAAGACAGAATTCAACAGTAATAAAAGAACAGATAATCTTACCATATAACCTTAGTCTGTACTCTGTAGAACAAACACAGATAACTAAAAATGAAACAGATAAGAAGATAACTTGAGAAGTGGCAATAAAGATGCAATCTTGGATAACTTTTGTATTCCAAGTCTATAAGCAGTAAAAAACATTAATAAACCCCAAAGAAGGAATAATTCAACAGTAAGATTAACAACTATAAGTCTTGTTTAAATCACAATGATTTTTTCCATTAAAAAAAAAAAAAAAAAAAAAAAAAAAAAAAAAAAAGGAATGTAATAATGAAAATTTATGAACCAGAAAACGAAATAAATAGAGAGAATTTCTACAACTAAAATCACAATCAAATATTCAATTGAATCCTTGAGCTTATTAAAATTGTGCAATTAACATATTCAATGTCATTTCTATGACAACCAACTGCAATTTTAGCCTCTCGAAATGCTAGTACAACTCACCATTAATAACAAACACAAATTATTCAAAACACAATCAAACTTCAGCTCAAAAACAATATGACAAACACCTTGAGTGCAATTTCTACAAAAGACTAATCTATGAACAATCCTGAAAACTAGCAGAAGAATTCAAGTTCCAATCGAGAGAATCAATCAAATTGCAAAAAACATTCAAAAAGAAATTCACAATAATCCTCAAAAATTAAAAATAATTGATATAAATTCACAACATTTAGAATAATATAAGCAACATCAAAAACTAAATTCATAAATTCATACAGACACACTGTTTGAGAACAAAATCAGTGAGAAATTCACAGGAGTCTACAAACCTTACAATGGACTAATCCCCTTTTTCTGCAGTCATAGACTTGGTCAGAAGTCTTAACGGACGGCTTTACAGAGGTCGAGCAGTACCCATTTGGTCAGTGGCGGTGGAGACGGAGGTCGTAGGAGATGCCAACTGCCGAACTCGGGGAGTAATGGAGGCTGTAGTGGTGGAGCGATTAACACGTCAACTAATCGCTGCTGCAGTGGAGCCGTGCCTCTGTGGAGCACACACTTTAGAGAGACTGGTGGAGACCGGAAACTGGAGCGGTGGTCCGTTGGAGGTCGGAGGAGATGCCGTCGAGCAAACGGAGGAGACGTCATGGAGCAAACAAAGGAGACGCCGACACGGATGTCGCCAGGTCGGAGCAGACGGAGTTGCCGAACGCAGGTGAGGGCTAGGGGTTTCAGATTAGGAATTCTAGATTTTATAAATAATTTGTTGATTTTTAGCTACGATTAAGATCATCTTTGTTAGAATATACATTTATTTTAGCTGAGTTTTAGTGGCGGTTAAAAGAACTGCCACTAAAATATACAATAAATTAAAAATAAATTAACATTTCTTAAGTTTAAGTACAAAATTAGTGGCGGTTTTTATAACCGCCTCAAAATAGTTATTTAGAGGCGGTTATAAATAACCGCCGCTAACTATATGTCACTAAAAAGCTGATTTGTTGTAGTGATGTGTGCATGATACCCCAATTTGGTTGCGATCAAATTGGTTATTCCTGAGCTGCGGTTCAGAAGCTGGCTGCGGTCAGAATTACACTCTCGGGCTGCGGTCCACCGTTTGGTTTCGATCAAACGTCTTACATGAGCTGCGGTTCATATTCCTGGCTGCGATAAGATGATCACTCTTGGGCTGCGGTCCACTATTTGGTTGCGATCAAACATTATGATGAGCTGCGGTTCATCGGTCGGTTGCGATCGACCCCTTCGTGTTGCGATACGAGGCAGGGTGCTGCGGGGTTGTGTCAGAGCTATATACGCTGACCCTCATGTATGGGCATGCGATTGGTCCTGTGGCGCCAACAAAGTGTGCTTGTGTGATGAGATGAATGATGATATAAATGAGATGAAGTGAATCTATAACCATAGGACATATGCTAGTATCTTTACATGTTTGGTTATAACTGTTGAATGTGATTATCCCATAGGATATATGCTAGTATCTTTACATGTTTGGTTATATCTGTTGAATGTGCTTATCCATATCTGTCGAGTCTATTCCGATTTTGAAACTAGAGTTTCCTAGGATATATCTCCCTGCTTCGAAATGACTTTTCTTATATCTATATGTATATATACTTATAATGTATTTCAACGCGTTGGAGTGGGTTACCAGCATCTCTCGCTGAACAGATATATTTGGCTTTCAGGCACAGACGAGTAGATCCCAGAGCGCGCTAGAAGATCGTGGATTAGATAGATAGTCTTTCATTTCGGCCTGCGTGCCATAATGATGTATTGAGGATATTAGTTAGTTTAGCCTGTGCATCTGAGTTCTCCAGCTCAGATGTGGCATAGCACCCCGTACACTTGTGATTAGTATTACTCTGTTTGGGATTTTATGAGAAATTATCTTTATTATATAAGCTTTAAAAGTTTCAAAATTTCGGGGTGTTATAGTCACCTCCCAGGTTTCAAGGTCAACAAGGTTACAAAGGGAATTATCAAGGGACTCAGCAACAGTGGAGACCGAATCAAGGATATCATGGTCAAGCAAGTTATCAAGGCCATCAAGGAGGGCCTAGTCAATTTGGGTATCATGGAAATCAACCTCATCCACCAAGACCAACAACTGAGGCACCTAAGGGGCGAAGTTTGGAGGATTTGTTTCAAGCTATTCAAAATTTGAATGCCAAAGTTGATCAAGTGGTTGCTCATAACAAAATGCTTGAAAACCAAATTGCAAACCAAGCTTCACCATCAAGAAACAAGGTTATTGGAAAGTTACCGGCATATTCTGAAAATCCCAAGGATCAAGTGAATGCCATTACAACTAGGAGTGGAAAACAACTTCAAGATCCACCCTTAGTACTTGAGAAGAAACTAGAAGAAGTGGTGGAGGAAAGAGAGCCCGAGGAGAAAGTGCTAGAGGATGCTCAAGATTTAGAAGGTGAAACACTTCAAATGGGAAATGGAAACAAGAATAAGGAGGTTGAGAAGTACACTCCCCCTCTACCATTTCCTCAACGCTTGAGAAGAGTCAATCTTGATGAAAGGAAAATCAAATTCTTTAATTTGATTAAGCAACTTGACATCTCCATCCCCCTTCTTGATGTCGTGACTCAAATTCCTTCATATGCTAAATTCTTGAAGGAGATTCTATCCAATAGAAGGAAGTTTGAAGGGCAAGCCACCATAGCCATGAGTGAGGAATCAAGTGCCATAATTCAAAGCAAGCTACCTCCAAAGTTAAAAGATCCGGGAAGTTTCTCAATCCCTTGTGTGATTGGAGGTGCGGTAGTGAGTAGGGCATTGTGTGACTTGGGGGCTAGTGTTAGCCTCATTCCTTATTCACTATGTAAGAGGTTAAAGTTGGGCGATCCCAATAGCACTTCCATGACTATACAATTGGCGGATCATTCAGTCAAGCACCCCGTTGGAATCCTAGAAGATATACCGGTAAAAATTGACAAGTATTTCATTCCGGGAGACTTTGTGGTCTTGGAGATGGAGGAGGATGATAGGATTCCAATCATTCTAGGGAGACCTTTCTTAGCTACGGCGGGTGCAATGATTGATGTGAAGAGCGGCACTTTGGTTATTGAGGTTGGGGATGACAAAGTGGAATTCAATATCTTCAAGATGGCTAAAAATCCTTCTTGTGCTGATGAGTGTTTTAGAATGGATATTATTGAAGATTGTGTACAAGAGTTTGTAAACAAACATGTCAAAGATCCTCTTGAAAAATTCATTTGGTGATGCCATAGAGGAAAGTCATGAGATGGAGGAGATCAATGAAAGTGTGAAATTCCTGGATGATGATACTACTTTGACACCACATGAAGGCCCGATCATTGAAGAACTCGCTTTTGAAGTAGGGAAAATTTTGCTTAAGAAGAAGGATGCTCCAAAGGTTGAGCTCAAGGCATTACCATCAAATTTAAAGTATGCCTTCCTTGGTGAAAATTCTACTTACCCCGTAATTGTCAATGCAAGTTTGGATGATGAGAAACTTGACAAATTGTTTCTTGTTTTGAGAAAGCATAAAAGTGTGATCGGGTATACTATTGATGATATTATTGGGATTAATGCCTCTTATTGTATGCATCGGATTTATCTTGAAGAGGGGCACAAACCTTCGGTTGAGCATCAAAGAAGGTTGAATCCTAATATGAAGGATGTGGTGAAAAAGGAGATCATTAAGTTGCTTGATTCGGAAATCATCTATCCGATCTCCGACAGTAAATGGGTGAGCCCGGTTCATGTGGTGCCTAAAAAGGGGGGCTTCACCGTTGTGCCAAATGAGAACAATGAGCTCATTCCTACACGTTTGGTCACGGGGTGGCGCATTTGTGTGGATTATAGGAAACTCGACAAAGCCACGAGAAAAGATCATTTCCCCTTGCCTTTCATTGATCAATTGTTGGAGAAAATGGCTAAGCATAACTACTTTTGCTTCTTGGATGGTTTCTCGGGATACTTTCAAATCATGATTCATCTGGAAGATAAAGAAAAGACACATTCACATGCTCTTATGGTACATTTGCTTTTAGAAGGATGTCTTTTGGGTTATGTAATGCACCGGGCACTTTTCAACGGTGCATGATGGCTATATTTTTGGATCTTGTTGAAGAAATCATGGAAGTCTTCATGGATGATTTCTCGGTTTATGGCGCTACATTTGATGGTTGTTTGGCTAATTTGAATAAAGTATTGGAGAGATGCCAAGAGGCCAATCTTATTCTTAATTGGGAGAAATGCCACTTCATGGTGACCGAGGGAATTGTCTTGGGGCACAAAATCTCCGACAAGGGTATAGAGGTTGATCCGGCAAAAATTGAAGTTATTGAGAAGTTGCCACCACCCACCACTGTTAAGGGTATTAGAAGCATTTTTGGGGCATGCTGGTTTCTACCGCCGGTTTATACAAGACTTTGCAAAAATTGCTAAGCCCCTCACTCACCTTCTTGCTAAAGATGTTGAATTTTATTTCGATGATGCTTGTCTTGATTCTTTTTGTAGGATAAAAAGGCTCTATGTGAAGCACCGGTTATTCAACCACCTGATTGGAGCTTACCCTTTGAACTCATGTGTGATGCAAGTGACTATGCGGTGGGGGCAATACTCGGGCAAAAGCAAGGCAAGGTGTTGCATGTCATTTATTATGCAAGCCACACCTTAGATGATGCTCAACTAAATTATGCAACCACCGAGAAGGAGCTCCTTGCGGTTGTCTTTGCCATTGAGAAATTTCGGTCCTACTTGGTTGGAAGCAAGTTCATTGTTCATACGGACCATGCCGCATTGAAGTTTTTATTTGCTAAGAAGGAGGCCAAACCTAGGTTGATCCGGTGGATTTTGCTTTTACAAGAGTTTGATATTGAGATCCGGGATAAGAAAGGTTCCCAAAATGTCATTGCGGATCACTTGTCAAGACTTGAGTCGGGACAAGACAAGAAACATCATGCTAAGGAATTACCTATCAATGATTCATTCATCGGGGAGTATTTATATGCCGCTCAGAAATTTTCTCCATGGTATGCCGACAAGGTGAACTACTTGGTTAGTGGCTATGTTCCCCCGGAGTTCTCATATGATCAAAAGAAAAGGTTCATTCACAATGCAAATTCTTATTGTTGGGATGAGCCTTTGTTGTTTAAAAGATGTGCCGATGGTGTTGTGAGAAGATGTATACCGGAAGATGAGTTTGAAAGTGTTCTTTATCATTGTCATTCCTCACGTATGGAGGCCATTTTGGAGCTAATAGGACCGTGGGGAAGGTGCTTCAAGCAGGATTTTATTGGCCTACTCTCTTCAAGGATGCTCAAATGTTTGTGAAGAAGTGTGATAGGTGCCAACGCACGGGTTCTATGGGGCAAAGACATGAAATGCCACACCCCGGTATTCTTGAGGTTGAACTATTTGACGTTTGGGGTTTGGACTTCATGGGGCCTTTCCCAAGCTCATATAGCAATACCTATATTCTCTTGGTCGGTGAACTATGTGTCAAAATCGATTGAAGCAATAGCTAGCCCCACCAATGATGCTAAAGTGGTGATCAAGTTTGTCAAGAAATTTATTTTCTCAAGGTTTGGAGTTCCGAGGGCATTTATCACCGACAATGGTACTCACTTTTGTAACAAACCACTTGAAATGGTCTTGCTCAAATATGGGATTCACCACAAGGTGTCCACACCATACCATGCTCAAACTTGTGGTCAAGTGGAACTCTCAAATAGGGAAATAAAGTCAATCTTGGAGAAAATGGTGAACCCGTCAAGGAAAGATTGGGCAGTGAAGTTAGATGATGCATTGTGGGCCTACCGAACGGCATACAAGACTCCAATTGGTACATCTCCATTCAAGCTTGTTTACGGGAAATCATGTCATTTGCCCATAGAGATTGAACATAAAGCTTATTGGGCCATTCAAAGTCTCAATTTTGACCAAAAGCTTGTGGGTGAGAAGCACCTCCTTCAATTGAATGAACTTGAAGAGTTCCGGTTAGATGCATATGAGAATGCCAAGATTTACAAAGAAAGAACAAAAAAATGGCATGATCGGAGAATTTTAAGAAGGGAGTTTGCACCGGGAGATGGTGTCCTTCTTTTCAATTCACGCCTCAAACTCTTCCCGGGCAAATTAAAGTCAAGATGGTTTGGACCATTCAAGGTTGTGGAAGCTTATCCATCGGGAGCGGTGATTCTTACATCAAATGATGGAAAACAATTTACGGTTAATGGACAAAGTTTAAAGAGGTACTTTGAAGGTGATGTGATAGAGGCTAGTGCAAATTTGAGCCTCGATGAGCCATCGGTGACTTGACCACTTGAGGTATCGTCGGGCATACGACGTTAAAAATAGCGCTACTTGGGAGGCACCCCAAGGGCTTGCATATCATATTTTCTCTTATTTTATTGCATATCACGTTTAGTTTTCCTTGTGTTTTATTTTTGTTTTTAAATTTTAAGTGCTTGATTAGTTTTTATGCTTAACGTTATTTTAGTCTCTTATCTCAAAAAAAAAAAAAAAAAAATTATTTTTTTTATTCTCTTTTCTTCCCCAATCTCTCAACCCTCTTATTTCCCTCTTCTCCCAAAACCTAATTTCTTTCCCTCATCTCCCAACTTCTACTCTTTCTTCTTCTTCCTTTTCTTGAAATTTATGTGGGTGTTCAAATTTCTTCATTTTTCCTCCATCTTTGGGCAAGATTAAGTCTTGGGTGTGGTTGCTTGTTGCTATTTGCTTCATTTGTCAACATATTTCGAATTTCTATTCTCCACCAAGCTTAGGTACGAATTTCTTTTTTTTTTTTAAGCTTTAATCCTTAAATAGCTTAGGTCTTGATGACCATTTGTATATATTTATGCTCTATTGTGCTTAAATTGTTGAATTTTTTGGACTCTAATGTTTATATTTTTGGGACCCTCTTGCAAAATCCGAATTTTCTTTTTTATTTTTGATATTCTTATGATTTTTCATGCTCTTTAGCTTTTGGAACTAGTGTGTATAGCTCTTTGGTGCTTAATTCTTTAATTGTTAAAGCTTAGACTTTGTCTCTTGATACACACTTCGGCTTTACTTGCATTTTTGGCTAACATGATGATGAATGGTTTTTAATTCACATATATTTTGATGAATGGATTTTGGTGATTTTATTTTTCTTTGAATATTGAATACTTGTGCATAATGAATTCTCTCTTTTTCAAAGTTCCAATTTTTGTTTATGCTTAAATGCTTAACTTCTTTTGAAATTGATTGCATTTGGAATTTGGTGGTATTGCTTTTCTTTATATGATGTCTTTGTAGAAAAAAAAATGCCATCAAAGAAGAAGTCTGCTCCCCCTAACAAAAAGAAAAGGCCAAGAATTGACACGGGGGAGTCTAGTAAAGTAAAAGAGGGGGAGCACATATATTCAAGCCCGAGAGGAGGAATCCCCACATTTTGACAATAAGGAGTTAGAAGAAAAGTATGAAAACTGGAAGAAGAAAGGTTTTGGAGAAGTAAGATATTTGCATCCGCCCGTGCTTGTTCAGTTTGGCATTAAGGACAAGGTATTTGAGCTCGTTGAAGGCCTACCAGAGTGGGAGTATTTTTTCCTCCATTTCCGTGAGCCCACTTATGCCTTACCCACTTTGGAAATCCTTGCAACACTTTCTTGTCCAAGAGAGGCTCATAAACCAAGTAAGAAGGACATCAAATTCACGGTATTTGGGAAGGAATTCCAACTTAGTGCAGATGACTTGGCTATCCACTTGGGTTTTTACACGAGAGAGGAGTTCGACGAGCATAACTCCATGAAATCATTGACCGATGTCCCCAATCCTCCAGACCGGCAAGCATTTTCGAACCAAATTTCTCTTCAAGGCTATGAGTATGATCCGGGTATTAGCAAGCAAAGTGAACTTCCACCAGAGTTGAGGATCATCCACAATATTTTTGCCCACTCATTCACAGGCCGAAAGTCTTCTCTAGGGGTAGTGAGCAAAATTGATCTTTTATGTCTCTACAGCATTGTCAACAAGGTTCCAATCCATTTGGGTGTTGTTATGGCTAGCATGTTCCACAAACACACAAACAAGGATCTAGCAATACCGTACATTGGACCTTTTGTTACGAAGCTACTAAAGAGCTTGGGTTTTGAGAAAAAATTGGAGGAATTGCAGCCCATTGCACATATCATCCCTCAATCCGAGCGCTGCCTCTTGAATTTAAAAATCTCACGCCCAGTACCTGACCGTGTGCATGAGCAAGAAGTCTCAGCTCCCCCCCCCCCCCCCCCCCCCCCGAAGCCGACCCATTCATGTGGCGGACTCTTGTGAGCAAATGCAAGCATTTCAGCAACAGTTGTTTGATGGCCTTAAAGCGGACATGAATTTTAGATTTGATGGCTTCCAATCCACAGTGCTCTAGGAACTACAGTCCTTACGCGCTTCCGTGGGAAATCTTGAGACTCAAGTCACAGAAATGTGGACCCAGTGGCAGGACTTCAGAGCACATCACTACCCCACTCAAGGGCCTCCGGAGCACTGACTCCCTTCTCTTTTATTTTAAATTTGCTTTACTGCACTTTTATTTTATTTTATGCTTTCTTTAGTTGGATTTACTTAACACATTTTGAGCCCACGTAGGTTGCATGAACCCCCTCCTACTCCCAATGAATCATTTCAGGGAACTAGCACTTTCCATCATCTTCATCCTCGCTTTTGGATTATTTTTTGTGAATTGTTCATGCTAGAAGGATGGATTTTTTTTGTCATTTTTGTGAATACTTTTGTTTCTTGGTGTTACATTCCTTTTGATTATTGTTTCTAACTTCTCTAACACCGGGGACGATGTTTTTGTCTAAGTGTGGAGGGTTCACTTTGGGCTTTATTTTTGCTTATTCTTGCTCTTGAGCCTTGGAAGAAAATTGTTCTTTTTAGAATTTAGTTTTCTTTAGGTTGTTCTCCTTGCATTTAGTTTCCTCTAATAGTAGTTGTTGAAATCTCCCTTTTTGCTAAAATCATTTAGGATTTCACCTTGTAGCTTCTTGTAGTTGTGATTACTCCGCTTTGTTGGTTTGTGGTTTGGCTTGGTGGAACTTGTTACAACTCAACTTGTGATTGAGAGTCAAAGTGTAGCGCATGATTGATCTATTCTCTTGCCAATGACCTTGTTAACTCCTTAATAATTGAATAAATTCTTGATCTTGTGTGTTGTGCATTGCTAGTGAAGGCTTATGTGAGATTCCGGTAATGGTTGTTTTGCTAGAACTTGCCTCATTACTCTCCAAGTGAAATCTAAGGTTTGCATGTTTTGAAATGATTTAGGCCATTTTTGTTTAGCCCAAGCCTTTAAACTTACCCTTATACATATTTGTTTACCCCTAGTTGTCTCAGTTGAGCCTTTTGTGTTTGTTCAATAAGTGCTAAGCACTTAATCCCCTTTGTGTTTGTTTTTTCTTGTATTAACCCTTGTCATTTAACCCTTAAACCTTAGCCAAAAATGTTTCCCTCCACCCTTGAGATAATAGAACACTTGTTCTTTTTCATGGAAGTGATTCTTTTTCTTTTAGGAGCTTGTTTTGTTAGCAACTCTCTCTATAATCTTGTCTAAGTGTGGAGGTCTTGATTCATTAAAAAAGTTGGTTTGTTGTTATAAAATAAAAATAAAAATAAAAGTGTAAAGGGAAAAAGTGGAAATGAAAAACAAGAAGTTGAATAAAAGTTTGATAGTTTGCGTTGAAAGTTGTACTCAACCTCCACTACTTAAGAGTGTTGCTTTGTGTTTAGTTGTTAGTTGCTCCTTAGTTCTTTGTTGTCATACATCTTCCAATATCAATTGTGAATAAGTGTGAAGTTCTCTCTTTTGTTTGATTTTCTTACCCTTTCTTTGTCAACCATTCACCCTTAGCCCCATTACAAGCCTAATAAAAGTCCTACTTGATCTTAGCATGTAATCTTAGAGTTGAACTAGTGGGAGTATGAAGGACAAGCTTCAATAGAGAAGTGTTCTTTTTATCTCTTCTCATTACTTTTAATCTATGCTTTCAATTTCTCTTTTAATATTGTGTTTCTATTGTTATATTATGAGTAGCTAAGTGTTTTGAGACTAGGATTTGGTTTGATTTCTTGCTATTGATGCCTATTTGAGTTGTATTGCATAAAGGGGATTATTTGGGTCCTCTAGGGTTAGTTGTGTGATTTGGGTTTGTTGTGAATTTGTGTATAATTGTTGGATCTCAATTATATGCTTGATTTGGAGTGTGTTTGTTGCTACGAGAGTAGAGCTTGTACACTAGCCACACATTCACACACTTATTGCCCCATACGAGAGTATTTCGAGTATTAAGGAGAGTTTATGCCTTGTGTTCTTGCTTGGGCAACCTTGGGTTGAATTGCCACGACAGTGGAGTTTAAGGTGAGGTTGCAAGTCCAAATAGCTACGAGAGTGGTATTTGGACACTTTTGTGCATCTCACTTACCGTATGCCTTGATTTAATTCCCTAATCTTTAGTATAATATTTGGCATCTTAGCTTGAATCAACCAAGTCCCGGTCCTTTGTTTTACTTGTCCTTTTTTTATTAACCTAATCATATCAAACCATCTCCTTATCGATAGGTCTAGCTTCTAAAAGAATAGTTTTAGCTTGTGCTTAACTCCGCTTTGCATCAATTCCTAACATTACAAGAGTCATCTCCAGTGGAACGATATCTTAACACTGTACTGTAATTTGATACTTGATGGATGCGTGGAAAACGTCCTCATCATTACGGCCGCTAGCCGCTCAGGACGTTTGAACGAACCCAAGTTCTGGATGGACTGGCAATGATACTCTGGCTTTCTTCATAATAATCTAACCCATTAAAAATTAGAATTCTGGAAGTCAGAGATCAGCTTGGAGAGCTTGGAGACGTACATCACTGAAAGATCAGCGAGCCGTAAGGTCGGGTTGACAAACTCCAGTCCGGTCAAACATGCGCATATATGATCGGTAAATATGTATATATATGTCATATGCTCGGAGAAGATCCAGTCCGGGATGCTGTACGGACGACCATGTTGTTAACAACTGGAACTACGCTGTTCCCAATACTTCGGGCTCGGAGAATTGATCTGATGACCAGGAACGTTGTGCACCGGTGTTTTCAGCCACGATCGGGAATAAGCCAAAGTGAGCCCTGGAATGTCCGAGGAAATCCAGTGAAACCCGTGTTGGAATAAGGGACTACATTGAAGATGAGAAGCAGAGTGAGCAGATTGAAGAAGAAGAAGAAGATTGTATTGTTATGATAAAAGCAAGCGATTACAGAGAAGACAAGAAGACTATATATGAAGCGGTTGAAACATAAAGATAGGAGGATTAGACAATAATAGCCCTATGCTATTTATTTTTATCCTCCAACACCCCCCCCCCCCCCCCCATAAGCTGAGCGTGTAGATCCTACATGCCCAGCTTAGATTTCTACTGCAGCACCAAGGTAGTGAGGACTGCTACTGCAAATCTAGGCTTCTCCTTATAGTTTTGAGGTGATCCTTCAAGCCCCCTAATAGTACACTCTTGGGTTTACATGATCCTCCCTGTATCAAAGGTTCTGGTTGCTCATGGATTTCTTTCTGCATATAGTGCTCATATTTTCCTTTATTTATCTGCTCCACTTCCATCTCAAGAATGGACAAGGTACGTTGAACAGAACCAGACCTAGTAAGAGTACCACCATGCTGTTTCTTGGTCTGGTTAAACTTATAAATTGACACACCTCCATCCTTAATATGAATGACTTCACCATCCTCAATTACCAAAACCTTCTTGGTGTGTTCAACTAAAGCATTGGCATCACTAGACAAGAATAACTCTTTTGGTTGCCCATTGCTTGAGGGAAATTTAGGATCACTAAATGATGCTCCAATGGCAGCCTCTTCTTCAAAGTCTTTCACACCAAGAACAAGTGGACTACCACGTTTGCAGGCAATCAACTCATTTGGGTAATGCCGACTTTTAAATATGAGAGCATAAGCTCCTTCTAGATGTCTCATTACTTCAAGCACAACTTGACTGAATGGCACACTTTCACCACCTTCTTCATTAGCTTTATCAAATACAAACTTTGCAAGCTTTGGGATCACCTCTTTATCTGTTTCTGATTCAAAGGTGAAATCATGTCGGATGAGAGTCTCTTTCAATGCCTCATAATTGGTGATAACATCATTGTGAACAACCCAGAAATCAACCATTCCCAGGACAAGACAAATTCCCAGGAATGGGCGATCTTGCTCAATATAAGTACAAACAGCTTCAACCATACACTCGGGAATTTGAAGGAAATCAGCATTTAAGCCATGTTGATCGAGAACTCTTGGAATTAAATGCCGCATTGCTATTTTAAGTTTTTCTTCTGGTGTATACCCAGGCAACTCAATGACTTCCATTCTATCCAAGAGTGGAGGAGGAATAGGTTGCTTCCTATTTGCAGTTGCCACAAATATTACTTTTGAGAGGTCAAATGGAACGCTCAGATAGAGATCATTGAAAGTTTTGTTCTGTTCAGGATCAAGGACCTCAAGAAGTGCTGAAGCAGGATCCCCCCGTACATCAGATCCTACTCTCTTCAATCCATCAATTAGACGCCCTGGCATGCTTCCAATATACGTCCTCCTGTGTGCTCTTATATCAGCCTCATCCTTGACACCACCAAGAGAAATGCGTACTAATTTCCTGCCCAAAGCAGCAGCAACAGATAATGCTAGAGATGTCTTCCCAACACCAGGTGGACCAACAAAACACAATATTGGACCTCTTGCATCTGATTTCAGCTTGCGAACAGCTAGGTACTCTATTATCCTCTGCTTAACCTTGACCAGACCATAGTGGTCACTGTTAAGACGCTCCTGGCGGAAGACGAGAGGAGCAGGGACAGCAGCGGAGGTCGCATCAATGGAAATCCCGGCGGAATCGTAGCCGCGGTACTCCAAGCGTCGCAGGCCATTGAAGAGAACTTCTAAAATGTAGCGCCGAAATGTCCGACGAACTACTTGAATCGACTTCATCTGTTGAACGGCTATGGAGGTCAGCTGCTCCGAACTCAGATTCCTTTGCGGAATCGTTGCCGATGTTGATCGAGCTGACGATCGAGCAATCAGATTATCCACACCTTCTGGATTTTGGCTTCTCTGCCGCTGCGAATTCAGATTCCTCTGCGGAATCGTTGCCGATGCTGACCGGACTGGAGATCGAGTGATCGGAATTGACGGACATCCTTGGATCACCTTCCGCTGCGGATCGGCTACGGACGTCTCCGAACTCAGAATCCTCTGCGGATTCACTAGGATTGCACAGGGGCTATCGTTGCTGTTGATAATCAAAGGATTGTCTACTTCCTCGAAGTAGTTCCTCTGAACTTGGTGAGAGATTCCTCTGCGGAATGAATGAACTCGCGATTCAGATGTCGGCGTCGCTTCATTGACTTCTCCGGCACCGGAAAGTGCAACAGCGTAGGTGAACTTCCGCTGCTCTGATACCATGTTGGAATAAGGGACTACATTGAAGATGAGAAGCAGAGTGAGCAGATTGAAGAAGAAGAAGAAGATTGTATTGTTATGATAAAAGCAAGCGATTACAGAGAAGACAAGAAGACTATATATGAAGCGGTTGAAACATAAAGATAGGAGGAGGATTAGACAATAATAGCCCTATGCTATTTATTTTTATCCTCCAACAACCCGAGTAATTAATCCGGATTGCTCAGCTTGGTGACGCCTGCTCGGCGTCGCTCGTGCTTTGACTAACAATCAGGAACTCTTTGCTCTCTGCCACTGATTCCTCTACCGCAATCGGAACCGAGGACGACAACCGGAGATGAAATACTACGCCCGGGAGACCAACCACAGAGAATAGGATGTGACAGAGCCTTTATCTTCCCACTAGCTCGATTTCCACGCCCCACCAACACCTTTAACCAACCAAAATGCATGCAATATTTAATTTCTAATTTCTTTACTTTGCCTTTTTACCACTGGACCGCTTACCCCCACCAATGAGAAGGAAACTCTAACACCACCTTCTTTTTTTTTTTTTTTTTTTTAGGAACGTCAATTTCTCCAGTTATTCTGTTCGTACACATTCATACACTTGGGATTCTTTTGCACTTCTCGGCGGCGGCGTGGTGGCGCTGACAACCTGGTGGAGCTCTTCTCCAACGGTGGCAGCAGCGGTGATGGAGGCAACACCTTAATCGGGGAGAGCGTGCTCTGTTCTTTTCCAGAACTAGAGTTTCATTCAAACATAAGGGTCATGCAGGCCACGCATCTCCAGCATTGCCGGAGATATATCTCGGCGGAAAAATGGCCAGGCAGCAGCTGCTCTTTGATTTCTCCGCCACGTTTCTCACACAGTTTACACGGGAGTATCGGAAATAGAGGTGGAAACCACATGCTTGTGATCTTCCAGACAATATGAAAATATAGCAGAAGAAAGTAATGGAGATTTTCTACCAACCAACTTGCATGCGCCCCTCCTATCTACTGCATCACGTACCGCCCACACCCACCACTGAAGGATAAGTTTTGGCCCCAAGACTTCTCCTTTTCCACCTTCTAGAAGCGAAGCAAAGAATTACAGGGGATAAATGGCGGTTCTTGGACTTGAATAAATCTGTTAACGGCGACGACGTCGCGACCAGTAGGGACGGCGGCGGGTGGCGGAGATGCGGAGTGAAGATTTGACGGATGGTGGATCATCGACATGCAGAGACCAGCTACTTATATTTTACTGCGTGGAGTTCAATGCATGTATTGTCGTAGAGAAAATTTTCTGACTTGGTCTTCATCCCCATGATAAAAGTGCAAAAGATGGAAAAGATACCCCAACAAGTAGAGTAGTGTAGTGGTTGGGGGTGTTTGTCCAATACTTGAAAACCTGGGTTTGAATCCCTCCTCCCTGTTTCCAGAAATTTTCCATAGATGTTTCTTTGATGGTTCGAAATGATACGGGTAATTCCCGTATACGTAGGATGTATATATAGAGAGTATATTGTATGTAAGCTCAAAGATCCTTTTATTCATGTTCTTCTTCTATGCTTGTAGAGAGAAGGGAGACGAAAGAGTGTCTAGAGACAGATTAGAGCTAGTGGAAGTGAAGGTAAGGAACCTCTAACTTGGAGGGCTAAGGCCCTATTTATAGGGTCATGGAGCGTACGGGGAGCCTAAACCCGGGGTATATTCCCCATCAGCCGGCTAGCGTCTAACTTAGCCGAGTTAACTCGTCCATTTCGGTCGAGTTAACCCAATCAGCTCGACCTGGCTATTTTTTTTTCATTATATATATATAAATAAATAAATAAATAAATATATATATATATATATATATATATATATATATATATATATATATATATAGAGAGAGAGAGAGAGAGAGAGTTAGGATCATATGAGAACATGTGTTTAGGTGAGAACGTGAGAACACATCATGTGCATCCATCTAATATTTTTTAATGGTCTAGATTAGATTAAGTGTGTGCGAACGCGCATTAAATGTGTGCAAACACACTAAATCGCGTTTGCACACATTTAATGTGCGTTCGCACCCACTTAATTTAATCTAGACCATTAAAAAAATATTAGATGGATGCACATGATGTGTTCTCACGTTCTCACCTAAGTATATGTTCTCACTGGAACCCTACCCTATATATGTATATATATATATATATATATATATATATATATATATATATATATATATATATATATATATACCCGTAGACTAGTTTGATACTTTGAATCTTTGGATAATTGAAGTATTTGAGTATTTTTAATTTTTAATATTATTTTGATGTTATGACTTATGAATTATCATTATTTCATTTATTTGGATGTATTATTTGATTGAATGTTGAAAACAACCCCATTAAAATTGCCAACTGCAAGTCTGTCACTGTTTTTTTGGCGCCCGCCTAGCGCCAGCTATATTCCGCCTAGGACGCTTAGGAGCTAGGCGCTGCCCGGGCGCCCGACTAGCGCCTAGCGCTTACTGCAACCATGATTAATAACATAACATAATTGCATATATAATCAACATTTTAAGTCTTATATATAATACTTTATAACATAAATGTAATACACATTTTGCAGGAAATGCATAATACTTTGTAACATAACAAAATTGCATATATCATTAATACTTTAAGCCTTATATATAATAATTTATAGTATAAATGCAGTATTTTATAGAAAAAGTATAATAGACAATTTACAAGAAACAAAGTGTCATTACGTCGCAAAATTGAAAATATAATCAATACATTAAGTCTTATATATAATACATTAATACTTTATAGCAAAACTGTAATAGACTGTTTGAAGAAAATAATATCATATTGCTAAGCTCATATATACCATAAGATTCAAATTCTACTGACTGACTCATCTCAAGGAGAATTTGCCTTTGAAGTTACTTTTGTGATGTAACCTTCCAGTGTCACCTTTTGTGTGTACTTTTCGAAGTATCGTTCTGGAACGTATTAATTCTGTTTATTATGAATTAGTTTTGAATTAATTCTAATCTTAATTTTCATATTAAATATGTCTATTATGAAGGTTACAAAACTGATTTTAAATCAATGTTAATGTCATGGTTTAAATGTTATTTAACCTTCCTTCTTCTATAAATACCTTAGTTGAGCAGATGGATTTTACAAGCTGCACACAAACCTGCATATTTTCTCTCCAGAAAACAACTTATGCTCTTCTTCTTCTAAATTTTTGTGTTCTATCCTTGCTTTAGTTTCCTGGGCTTATATAATTTGTTTGAGTGCTCAAACATTAAGTCGTAGTTCGTTTTATCCCGAAAAATCTATGCTATAACACTCCTATGACCAAAAAGAGGTAACAAATGAAGTTTTAAGAAAAGTGCAAGTACCATGGGATTCGAACTTACCGTTTACGCTTTTGTTTTAATTTATTGTGCTTGTTTTTCCGAATTGCGGAGTAATATTTCGGTAACACATCGCTCAACCCATTGAGCACGAGTTCATCTAAAATGGATCATTTTGCTATTGACTAAAGATATTTTTCGTTAACTCCATTTTTCTTGAAATGACTTTCGATAGTATTTTTTAGATTTTCAAAAAATTATTAATGAAAATAACAATACAACCGTTTAATTAAATTAAGGTTAATTGTAATACATAATTTATAAATCATCTTCTTCTCCCAAATCTAATGAAAACAACACTACAACCATTTAATTAAATTAAGGTTAATTGTAGATTGAATACATAATTTATAAATCTAATGCATGGTTTGGTGCAGAGTTTTTGAGTAACGGAAATAACATAAATATTATAACCGCATACATATCAACTTCAGAAAAGAACACATCCAATTTGTTTCCCGATCAAACTGAAAGATACCATGAATATCAATTAAAATCTCCTATTGATTATTTGATAAAATGAAATCTTATTAAGCAAGCAATATTCAACCAAAATACCCTCCCCCTCTCCCTCGGCACCCTGGGGCAATCCCTCCTACGCACCAACCTCAATCAAAATCTTCATCAAAGTTATCACAACCAGCAGAATTCTGTATTTTCTGTTGGGTTCTTTGTACATTTCGAATCTAGCTTGGATATTGAACAATGGGTTTCTTTCTGGGTATCTTCTTTGGAGCTGCATTGGGCTTTGGATTGATAGTTATTTTTGCTAGATATCAGAATATCAGATCCCTTAAAAGAAATGATTTGGTATTTCTCCTTCCTTCATGATCACATAACATATATATATTTGTATAGAATACGTTATTTCCTCATGAATGCTTGGGTTCTGGTTTTATTTTCTTGATTATCATTGATTATTTTGATCTGGGAGAATCAGTATCAGTGCAATATTTGGTTATTCTTTTTTGGGGTTATTTCTATTCTTGAAAATTTTTCAAATCTATGTTAGGCTACCACGGTTGCATCATTTGCAAGAATGACAGTTCAAGATTCAAGGAAACTCCTTCCACCTGAAGTGTACCCTTCTTGGGTTGTGTTTTCACACAGGCAAAAAGTGAGTTTCAATAATATACTATCTTACCTGCTTCAATTTGGTGTCAGAACTAACCCCATGGGTTCGAATTTCCGCATAACCCTAAAAACGAGACTTGGAGCCCACCGGCTCGCACACCTGAGGGCCAGCATATAATATATAAACATAAATATGCAGTCCAACTATTAGTTTAGGATTTTAATTGAGATGGAACACATGCTTCAATTCGTGTACTTAGATAAGTTATTTGCATAATCAGTAGTGCTACTATGATTTGCCAAAGTGTTTTTTGTTTTGGCTAATTGCAGTTAAATTGGCTTAATCGCCAGCTTGAGAAACTATGGCCATATGTTGATCAGGTAATTGTGATGCCATATTTAGTCAGATTTAATTTGTTTTCCATTTTCCTGTTTGATTTAGTTTAAAGCTTTTATGTCAAATTGGTAGTGTAGGCAGCATCAGAAATAATTAGGAACTCCGTTGAGCCAATTCTTGAGCAATATCGACCAGCTATCTTAGCTGCTCTGAAATTTTCGAAGTTGACATTAGGTACTGTGGCTCCACAGTTCACAGGTAAGCTTGTTGAACGTGAATGGTGATGCTATAAAAATTAATCTGAAAAGAAACAGTAAAAAAAAAAGACTTCGATAAGAAAGTTTGGTCTTTGCATTTCAGGTGTTACAACTATGGAAAGTGATCCTAAAGAAATCGTTATGGAGATGGAGATGCAATGGGATGGAAATCCCAACATTGTACTTGATATAAAGACTTTAGTCGGCGTTGCACTGCCTATACAAGTATTCTTATGAAATGTTTTCTGTACATAATTCTAATTTCTGACATGTTCACCGTAACTTTAACATCATAGGATTTCTCGTTTCATGTCTTTGGAAATGTTTCTCTCATTCTTCTCCAGCATGCTTAATTACAATCTATTAATTTCGTATTATCGTACTCTGATTGTTATATGTAGGTAAAAAATATCAGATTTACAGGTGTTTTTAGGATAATATTCAAACCACTTGTTGGTGAGTTCCCTTGCTTTGGAGCTATTTGTTTCTCCTTAAGGGAAAAGGTGAGTTCGAATATGTTCTTTTAACCCTTTTTTACTATCTATTTCAAGACTCACTAACTTCATATCATAGAAAACATTGTAGATCGAACTTATCATCTTTGTTTCAAAAAAATGCTAAAAAGATACTTAATTGGGGATTGCCTGCAGAGAAATCTGGATTTCACACTGAAAGTCATTGGCGGTGATATCGGATCCATTCCTGGAGTATCTGATGCAATAGAGGTGGGAAGTTTTTCTCTCTCAATGTTACGAAAGAAACTAACGTTTTCTCTATAATGTCTGTCGCATTTCGTTTTCTTCATATAGACTACAATAAGGGATGCAATTGAAGATTCTATCACCTGGCCAGTCCGTATAATCATACCCATATTACCAGGGGATTATAGGTATGCTAAATTGTCAATTAAAACTTTTCTCTGCAATGTGTTATCAAATATACAGCTAGTATTTTGAAACATTTGTTTATACCTCGATGATTATAGTGATTTGGAATTGAAGCCGGTTGGAATGTTAGATGTGAAGCTCATCCAAGCTAAAGAATTAACAAATAAAGACCTCATCGGCAAATCTGATCCGTTTGCAGAGGTGTTCATTCGTCCACTACGTGCCAGGATGAAGAACAGCAAAGTTATTGTAAGGAGGGAGCTAAGTTACTTTGTCAACTAAACTTTTTCTGTTATTCTATTCCATGATTTTAACCCATCTTTCTTCCTTTTTTTGTTTGTTTGTTTTGCTCTGAAGAATAATTCATTAAATCCGATATGGAATGAGCATTTTGAGTTTGAAGTTGAAGATATATCCACTCAACACTTAACGGTAAAGGTTTATGACGACGAAGGTGTTCAGGCTTCCGAACTCATTGGTTGTGCTCAATTTCCATTACAAGAACTCCAGCCCGGGAAAGTGAAGGTTGTGTGGTTGAAACTGTTGAAGGATTTAGAAATACAAAGGGACACCAAAAATCGAGGCCAGGTGAGTGTTTGATGGGCTAATTCTTGAACTGCTGATGTTTCTGGAGTCGGGTGCTGCTAACAATGAAAATATAAGAGAGAATATATGGGTTAGACTAGCTAATTGATTGGATTCAATGTTTTAGTGTGGTTTGGCCCATGTGTATTATAGCCCAGTTGAAGCCTGTTCGGTCCACTTTGTGTATAGTTTCACTTTTGAACTACATATGTACAGGTTCACTTGGAACTGCTTTATTGTCCTTATGGCACTGAGAGCGTATTTATGAATGCTTTTAACGCGGACTTCAGACTGACTTCCTTAGAGAAGGCTCTTCGCCCCGGACCAGATCCTATTGAACAGTCAAAATCGGGCTCACAGCAGAAGAAAAGTGACATCCTCTTCAGAGGAGTGCTCACCGTGACAGTAATATCAGCAGAAGAGTTGCCAGCTACTGATATATCAGGAAAATCCGACCCTTTCGTTGTAATAACAATGAAAAAATCTGACCAAAGGAACAAAACTAGAGTGAGTTGTTCTATTCGCCCTTTCCATTTGGAGTTGCTACTTTTCAATCGTATGTTACGTTGCTGCCTTCGAACCCATGACCTTTGATCTGGCTCTGATATCAAATTGAAGCATGTGCTCCATCTCAACTAAAAGCCTAAGTTGATAGTTGAATTGCACATTAATGGTTATATGCTCAACAATGATAACTAATATTCCATAATGTCAGGTTCTGAACAACACATTGAATCCCGTTTGGAACCAAACATTTGACATAATCGTCGAGGATGGATTGCGCGACTTGCTAATAGTGGAAGTTTGGGACCACGACACCTTTGGAAAGGTAAGCATTTTTCTTCCTTATATGCTTTTTGGAGATTCAGTCCTTGCCATTCTACTTATCAAATAACACCATTTTTTGCAAGGAATAGCATCATTCTGCTGTTGTAGTAGCCATATATAACTTACATTTTTATCAGGACAAAATCGGTCGATGCATTATGACACTTACAAGAGTCATACTGGAAGGGGAATTTTCAGACAGCTTCCCAGTAGATGGAGCCAAGACTGGGAAGCTAAACCTGTATCTTAAATGGACGCCGCAACCAATACTCCGGGACTTATGAGTATATATATATACACGAGGGTATAAAGTGTGGACAAAATTTTTTGTTTTTGTTAGGAAAATAACAGAAGTTCATATATAGGAAACTGCAGGCATGCCCAGATGCTAAGAGGTGCAGTGAAGCAGGCAAGAAATAAGAGGGAGCAATTAAGAAATCTCTCTCCAACAGGAGAATTTTAGAGTCAGTGCTTTTTCTTGTTGTAACAGTAGATGTGTAATGTACAGAAGTAATATAATAGATAGAATCAAATCATAATATGTAGCCTTAGATGATTTTCTTTGTTGTTAATCACAGCCCATTGCCCTTATTGTGGAGAATGTTTTGTAATATCTCACATTTCTTGCTTTTGATGTTTGAGTGATATGATGCAGGTCGGGAGGGGTGTTCATTCGGTTAATAATTGAACCGAATTTTTAAATGCTTCAACTATTAACGGAACCGAAATTCTTACTTCTGAATTAACTGAACCTATGTTAATCAGTAGGTTAAATGATTAGCTAAAATATTTTAGTCCAATTTAAAAAATCTTAAAATTTATAATTTCACACTATAAAGTAGTCATTACGTCAATACATAAATAATAAATTTTGAAAAAACTAATTTGATATGGAGTAGTATTTTTTTAGTTGAGTGACCCAATTGCATTTTCACGTTACGTTTGATGGCTAATTTGAGTCTTATTCCTTCTACATCCTTTTGATCCAAGAAGTTTTGCCAAAACATTTTCCCGCCCAAATGATACTACACTGTTTTGACAATAACAGATTTTTGGATTTCATTTAATGAGGTTTATAATTAAAATCCACATTGGGATAAGACTGAGCCGATTTTTTTTTTTTTTTTTTTTTGGGTTTTGACAATAAATTTGAATTGCTTTGTAATTTACCAAGTCAGTAATCACCAGGTCATTAAATGCAAAACTATTCTCAAAGTACAGTGATAACTAAATTATAAATAACTAATAGCAATAATAACACCTATATATATACTTACTTATTACAAATCATATTAGAGATAATACTAGATATAAAAGATCCTCTGCCCAAGACAGTGGCTGCTCTTGATAAATGTTCAAGAGCAGACATGCCATCATTTAAAACATTTAATAAAATCTTAGAATTCCCATACAGTGTCTGCTATTCATAAAGGTCTAATAGCAGCCCTCCCCTGATTTAAAATCCTATAAAAGGCCAACTTCACGCTGCATAACTTCCTTCCCAAAATCATATCACTCTTCTTGGCATTTCAAATCAGTTTTGCTTCCACATCATGCCTTCAATGTTTGTTCCTGTTAAAGATATCAAACTTGAACACCAACTGAGGGCAATAAGGGTTAAAGCTGTCAGGGTATACGAAGTTCCTGAGGTTAGGGGAGATGGTCATACAACAAGAGTATGGAATGTTTGTTGCACGATGAAAAGGTACTCCCTTTTTTTTTATGCAATCTACGAAAAAAAAATATTAGTTCTTTTTTTTTTGTGCAATTTATCACTGCTATCTACGAAAAAAATATTAGTTAAACACCTATTCAGTTTTGTTTTTTGTTCTTGACTGGGAGAGTACATACATACCACCATTCAAAAAAAAAGATGTGGTCAAATATAGAGAAATACTAAGATGTTTGTTGAATAAAGTATGTGGTCCAACAAGTTATGCAGATATTAAAACTGTTAATGGTGTGCAGTATGATTCATTCCGAGATGCGTGTTATGCAAGAGGTTTAGTAGATGATGACAATGAATATGTTGACGCAATAGAGGAAGCAAGTCATTGGACGTCTGGAGATAATTTGAGGAGATTGTTTGTTACATTGCTAATGAGTAGCTGTATAGGAAAACCGGAAGCAGTATGGAATGCGGGGTGGCCACATTTGTCTGACGATGCACAATTTCAACTCCGTAAACAGTTGCAAAATACAGGTACACATACTTTCTAAACACTATTTTTAAAAATTGTCTTCAAAAAATACAGTGATGTATAACTAACTAGACTGAATGAGTACTTTATGATATAAACATTTGTAGATTTAGTGTTAAATGACTGTGAAAAGATGGAACTTTGCTTTAGTTGAGATTGAAAAGATGTTGTCAATATTGGGAAAGAGTTTGCGGGACTTTCCAGACATGCCAACGGCAAATTTTGAGACCTACACTGTAATATCAAATAGATTGATACAAGAAGAATTGGCATATGATTGTGTTGCTCAGGAGAAAGAGAATCAGGAATTGGTAAGTCAGTTAACAGAAGAACAAAAGGTCATATACAATGAGGTGTTAGCAGATATTGAACGCAAAGGTGGAGGGTTTTTCTTCATTTATGGTTATGGAGGTACTGGTAAGACGTTTTTGTGGAGAGCATTGTCGTCTGCTTTAAGGTCTAAGAGGGAAATAGTTTTAAATGTTACCTCGAGCAGCATAGCTTCTCTTTTGTTACCAGGTGGAAGGACTGCACATTCTCTGTTCGCTATACCGATATCAATTAATGAAGATTCCACTTGCAACATAAGTCATGACAGCCCATTAGCTGAGCTTATTGTGCAAAGCAAGTTGATAATATGGGATGAAGCTCCAATGATGCACAAATTTTGTTTTGAAGCCCTTGACCGAACTATGTGGGATTTGTTGCGCTCCAAAAATTAAAGTAGTTTTGATATGACATTTGGTGGTAAAACAATGGTCTTTTGTGGCGATTTCATGCAAATTCTACCAGTAATTCCAAAGGGTATAAGACAAGATATTGTTGGGGCGAGCATAAATTCCTCATATCTGTGGAGATCAGCTAAAGTCTTTAGACTAACTAAGAATCTACGCATAAGAACTGTACAATCACAAATTGAGGCTAAAGAGATTGAGGAGTTTTCAAACTGGATAGCTAATATAGGTGACGGAACAGTTGGTAATTCAAATGATGGTGAAGCAGATATTCAAATCCCATATGAGTTTTTGGTCAAGTGTGATGATGATCCTATTGCTAAAATTGTTGATAGCACTTTCCCTCTATTTAGACATGGTATTGAGGATCTGTCGTATCTCAAGGATAGTGCTATTCTGGCTCCAACATTGGATGTGGTAGATAGCATTGACTAATACATGAATGATCATAATCCGGCTGAGGGTAGGACTTACTTGAGTTGTGATTCTGTTTGTAAGTCTGATTCAAATGTAGATATGTTAGCGGATTTGCACACTCCAGAATTCTTGAATGGTCTGCGATGTTCTGGAGTACCCAATCATGCTTTGACTTTGAAAGTTGGGTTACCTGTTATGCTTCTGAGAAATATTGATCATACCCTTGGATTATGCAACGGTACAAGGTTGATTGTTACGAGGTTAGGTGATCACGTATTGGAAGCCCAGATCATGTGCGGTACAAATGCAGGAACAAGAGTATTAATTCCCAGAATGTCACTCACACCGTCAGATCCAAGGTTGCCGTTCAAATTTCAACGAAAGCAATTTCTTTTGATGTTATCATATGTCATGACAATCAACAAAAGCCAAGGACAAACACTTTCAAAAGTGAGATTGTTGTTGAAAAGACCTATTTTTAACCATGGCCAAATGTACGTAACTGTTTCAAGAGTTAGTAACCCAAGAGGTTTAAAAAATTTGATTTGTGGCGAAAATATAACATCTTATAGTACGACAAAAAATATGGTGTACAAAGAAGTCTTCAACAATGTGTAATAACATTACAAAGTTTATCATTTTAAATTTATTACATTTTCAAAAACTATATTCTATACTTTATATTCCATATACTATACATATTGTCGTGCATCGCACAGGTGCAAATACTAGTAATAATAAAATAATATTAAAAAAATACTCTATAATAAAAAGTAAATTTAAAAAAATAAATGTGAAATGGGCAGCAAAAGCTGCTATATTGACAATACACATATAAAAAATTGTCATTACCCATTCTCTCTCCACTTGCTAAGTTAGCTAATTCTCTCTCACTTTGCTATTCACTTATGCTGAAAACCAAAAAAAAAAAAAAAAAAAAAAAAATCTCTTTCTTGCCACATCATTTAACAAGACATTCAATTTCTGAGATGAAGTTAGTCTAACAAATTTTCTTTTTTTATTTTTTGTTGTCCGCCTTTTTTTTTTTTCTCTTCTCACCTCTCTTTCCTACATACCCAACAAAAATCAACCCAAAAGCCAAAAAATTGAGGTTACGTTTGGTTTTTAAAATAAATAATAAAAGAAAGTAAGAAACACAACAAACACCAACTACAAAGAGAAAAGTAGTTTGTATATATCACACCATGGCATTCCACCACAAATGTTACAATTTAACAAACCATGGATCTAATAAATGACAATCAACTTGACATCTGTGGGAACAAAAATTATACTAAAAATGGGATGAAGAAAATATCACTGCTTCCATAGATCCAATGATGAAAACATCTCTACCTGTTGAATGCTATAACCCCAAAATCTTCGAGAACCGCTCAGATAGATTAGCTATTACAAATCCTGCAAATACCTGCAGAAGAAGAAGAAGAAGAAGAAGAGAAGAAATATGGTCAGAGCAGATTATAAAGGAACATTCTAATGAACAGATATAATAAGAATAATGAACAGTTTTTGTCCTATGGCCGGCCCCCTTCACGCTTTCTGCTCACCAAGAGCACATCGATTATTATGCAAAAATTTCCGGATTTTTGAAGTTTTTGGTATTAAGTTTCGAGTGAACGACATATTACCTGAACCGAACCAAGAATGTAGATTGCGGAATAATGCCGGCCATGAATTACCATGTCAGCTACCATAGCAAGTGGAATTGTGAGAGACATTCCCAGGGTTGCCACCAATGGAGTTGTCCAAACAACACATAATGCCCTAAAGATACGGCGGGAGTTAGCTTCCTTAAAAGGCATAACAGCACTTAAACTTTTCGTTGCGTTATAGAGTAGATTAAAGAAAGAAAAAAAAAAAAAAAAAAGGCGAGGTCTGGACAATGAGATTCATACCAAAAGTAATCAGAAATAACACTTCCGACAAGTCCATTGGCAATCACAACTTCGTCCACCTTAGCAGAATGAGGAATCGTAAACTTGGGTTCAATGCCCAAGGCTGTCAGTGGCCATACTGAAATACAATTTGGATTAACGGTTATCTTGTGAAATATAATAAGGTACAGTAGCAGATATTACACAATCAGGCATAAAATAATGTATATCATGAGGCTTGAAAAAATTGAAAGAAACATCTGCCATCCGAACCACAAAAAGGAAAGGGCAGAACTTCTAGCAGAAGGCGAAGAAAACAGTTAAAAGTAACAAAGCCCAAGTTATTAAACATAATAGTTGATTTAGATGTTATTATCAACCCAACTATTAAACATCTTTTTGTTTTGGGTGACGAGGGAAACCCGCAGCCACTACCCGAGGGTGTGCTGGGTAAATCTCGCCATGTGATTCTAGCCAGCAAAAGACAACAAGGAGGTAAACCAGCCTAAGTTACCCATAATTGACCGGCTCAAACCAAGAAGGCTATTAGGCCGCTCCCGCTGGAAGTTAAACTTGTAACCTTGTGATTATCAAGTCACCAGCCTGACCAACTTGGCCGGGGTTGCCCCTTTCGACTTTTTCTATCTTTTGCATAAGTGGGCTAATTCCATACATTTGAGTATTATGCACAAAGACCAAAAAATTGTTTCCATCAACTAACTATTTACTAAATCTGATTAAGGGATATACGATTTCTTTGAAATTCAAGTTACAGAAAAGATTTAGAACCTGAAATCTTACCAAGCCACCAAAGTGCCACTAGGGAAAACAATCCAATATATCCAAATAACTTTTGCATATCAACCCTTTGTCCCTCTTCACCAGCAAACTTCTTAAGAAGTACTGCAATATGATTTTTTTTTTTGTTTATTATCAAAGCTCACTTCTAGTAGATGCGACCATTTACGTAAAGAAAAGTAAGAGAACATCTAACCTGTAAACAGTCCATATGTTACAGCTGATAGAAGGCCAAAACAATCCCCAATCAAGGAGCGTTTCCCGCTTCTTTAAAAGAAACAAAAAGTTCAACGATAAGTCAATGCCCTGAAAGCATAAAATACAATACGTAAACTGATAAAGAAACAGCAGAGACTAAATATTAAAAGCAAGATTCTTTTCCCAGACTAGATATGCAATCCTAACATTGATGGACTAAGAATGTTATAACCGAGCCATTATACTATAGACATTTCAAGTGAGGTGATATCTCTAAACTGATTCTAACGTTTGTTTCACATGTTGAGTCTGAAATCATGTATAGCAGACCACATAAAATCACCCAAAACGAAAACATCAAGACAAATAAGGCTTTAATTTGAGTGCTGCTTAACAAAGATGTTAACTAAACAACCTTGACGATCTTTTTAACAGAAGTAATGCAATGAAAGAAGGCATAGTACGTCAAATTGTAGAAGTTACAGAATGACGTACAAGGAAGGAGTTAACTCAGATTCATCAGTGGCCCAAGTTTTCCCTAAAGTGGTCATGACAACACCAGCCAAGCTGACAAACACCGCAACTACCTTTGCCATATTTAAGGAGTCTTGCCCCAGGAGTACACCAAAGAAAAGAGTGAATAATCCCGAAGTAGCAGATAATACTGTTGTACTTGCCACACTGGTGTAGGAAAGAGCAGCATTTGATAAGTACTGCAAAAGGATCAACACAAATAAACATACACATTTAGGGATGTCAAACTTTAAATTTCTTTATTATTCTCTTTCTCTCAATCACCAAAGGGATTAAGAGGGAGTTGGTGGGATGCCAACTTGAAACTAGATTTTTTTTTTTTTTTTTTTGTCAGACCACGAGGTGTCCTGAGCAGGCCCTAACTGTAGGAGGCACCTTTAAGTGCGTACCATACTCGGACTAATCCCTGTTCGCACCGGGCCGGCCCAATTAAGGGCAAAGTGCTGGCCAGATTGGTTTTTCCATACGAGAGGGGGTTTGAACTCCCGACCTCTCTTAAGGGACAAGAGTGCACGGCCACTCACGCCAACCAAGCTGGTTACCTGAAACTAGATTTGAATCACTGATTCATTTTCAATATTAAATTACTGAATATGTATCCCAGCAGAGTCTACAAGTTATTTGAACAAATATCGGTTTTCAAGGAAAGAAACAACTTAGGAGCATACCTCAGTAACAAACCAGATAGGGGCAATATAAAATCCATAGCGAGCAATTTCTCTGGTTGTGACCTGTTTTTCTTGTTTGATATGATTGCCATCACCAGCGGAGCTACTAATCAGTGGCACTCCTTCTTGCTCACCAGAAAGATTTTGATCACTGTCTTTTCTACTCAAGGATCCCTGAATTTCAATCTCAAAGACTTTCTCCCCGACATACTTCAAAGGAGAGCTAATGTTAGCATGTGATGCATCATTGCTTTCAATGCTCTTATCACTTTTAGTACGGCGTCCATTAAGATAGCCACATATGCAGTCCTTGAGAAAAGCTACCGGGAGATAAATTACCAGCAAAGAAGCACCAAGATATGTCACAGCAAATGGCTGCTTATAGTCCGTGAAAATGCCCTGTATATGCACACGCAAAAATTCTTTTTATTGTTGTGACATGCTAATCACACCATTACATTCACCAAGATACCCTTTGCTAATTCGTATGGCTATCTCTAAGGAGCTAGCATGACTTTAAAAATTAGCGTTAGTGTGTTACACTAGTGTGAAGCATTGTGATCCATGTTTATCCTTTACGGGTATTGTACAGGGAAGGGAAGGTGCAGATAGGCTCAGAGAGAAACTAGGTACAACAGAAACAGGAACTTATAACCACTAGGCTGTAAATTGGTACAACTGCAAGGAATGAAACGATACTAACAGATAGAATAAGGTATGTAAAAGGCTTAAATCTTTTCATCTAACTTCAATTTCTAAATCCCCATCTGTGATCTAAAAGGTCAACTAGATAATTTAAAGACAAACAACAAGAAGTCAGCAGTTGAAACTGTTAACTATACTGGAATAATAGATCTTGTCTGATCTTGAACTGCAGTCTAGGTTTCAAGGAACTATAACATATCACCCACTAGCCATCTAATAGCATCCAAGCAACCATAATTAATAATTCATCCAAATTGCTCTTTGAAATCGTGTTGAACAGATAAAAGTATAAAACATGTTTTCCCAACAAACCCCATCCCCACAAAATACTTCTAGTTCCTTAGCGTTTACTTCTATAGCTCTTCTCGCCATTTCTAACCATAAATCTAAGTTAGAGTTACAGTTTCATTTCAACACGGAATCTTGTTCCAATAATCATGCAACTTGCAGAGAAAAATGCCCCCTTATGAAACATAGAAATATAACTATTAAAACAAAAAGGAAAAGCTTCTGAAAGTTAAAAGGAAGAGTTCTGACCTGGGTGACTTCAGCAGAGGTAACCCAAATGACAACAACTGCACCAATAAGGAACAAACCGGCCTTGTACCTCCACCCCATCACAAACACTATCAATAAATACCCAGATTGAAATCTTGTTTTCTCGCCAAGAAAACAATAAAGATCTGACCTTTTTCACCTCAAAGCCTCGGATCTTTGAGCCAACACTTCGGTTTTCTACTTTTCTGCTCTACTTTTCTATTTTTCTCCTTCAGAGAATTGAAACGCAACGAAATGTTGGGGGCACCCCTCACCTGTGAGTGAAATTTGACCTGCTAAAAGCACGTCGGTGGATTACAATACAAGCGTTTGATGCCGATGTGCCAACGAGGGAAAAAAATTTTATGTGTATTCAAGAATTTCTTATTTCTTCTTTTTAACAAACAGACAAGGAAAGCCTGCTAAGATTAGAAAATAAAAAATAGAGGGAAATTTTAATCGAATTGCTTCGATAGAAGAATTCGGAGAATTTGTCCCACAGTTCTGGATGGAGGAATTTGCAAGCAATAAAGTTTCTTTTTAATTAATGATACTTCTCAAATGCTAAATTATGTATATGATACGTTATCACTATAAAAAAAAATCAAAACAAATATTTAAAATATAATATTTGAAAATGATTTTTTTCCCTTTAAAAGGTTGTTATGATTATGAAATATAACTATGTGCATCTTGAATTAATTTATTTACTAATTTAAAAACATAATAAGGGATAGTCCATTTATTTGATTTTTTTATTAACTTTTTATACGTTATGTTATAATGAATTGTAATATACAATTTTTTAGATGAAAATATCTTTACATTTATAACTTTTGTTATAAATTTACTAATTTAAAAATATAAATTCCTGATTTGTTTTTTTTTTAATTATGCTATAAGAATTGTAATATATAATTTTTAGACAAAAATATCTCTACATTTATAACTTTTGTTATCTTTTCCCATTATTATTACCATCCACATGCATACATAATATATTTTCGTATATTCTTCATGGTAATAATGTATGTAGATATTATATATTGTAAGAAATAAGTTTGATTTCATTTAGATTTTAATTAAATGTTACCATAATTATATTTAGTAATTTATCGTATCTAAAATTCTTACCTTAATAATATTAATCATACCGTAATTATTACTCAAATTATCAACTATAATTTTAATATAATATGAATTTTACAACTATGAATTAAAAAAATATATATACTATTATTTTTTAAAAATATTTTAATATACTAAGATTTTAACATTGAGTATTAATATTGGGCATATATTTTTGTGCATATAATATACTAGTTTAAAATATAATATTTGAAAATTGTTGTGGATTATAATGTTTCTTCTGTACTTGATCTTCGGTGATCTTCGATTTGAACTTTTTGTTACGCAATATGTGATAAAACATAGAGAAAAGGTAAAAACTAGAGTTGAGAATATAGAAAAAAAGCTAAACGGGAAATCCCCATTCAACCAAGAAGAGTACACACAAAGTATATAATCCTGAAAATCATGAAAGTAACTAACCACTAAGATAATGACCACACATTTAAATTAATTACAACACTCCCCCTTGGACATTATCTTTCCATAATCATTCCTCGTTAAAAACCTTGCTAAAAAACCATGTGGAAACAACGTAATCAAGAAAAAGAATACATGACGTATGTATAGTCATGTGTTACACTAATTACCTCATTAAAAACTTTAGATTAAGAAAACTCAGTGGGAAAAACTTAATTAAAAGAAAAAGAGTACAAATAATTGCCTTCGGCGCTTAATCTTCAAGATTGTAATGACCTTCTAGGCCAATTGATTAAGAACATCTAGAGGTTGTCCCCCCCCCCCCACCCCTCTCCCCCCCCCCCCTGAAGGTAACAGTCTTCCAAGCATCCCAATTTTATGAACATATCTTTCAAAGGTGGATGTAAGCAGGGACTTGGAACAATAATTTTGCCAGTCTTCTCAAGTTCATGCGGATAAAAGAACATAGGTGTAATGTGTTTTGTAAGGTTCCCCTTAATGTACCCATTACTCATCTATGTAACACATGTCGCATTGTCTTCATACAGGACAGTGGGAATATAATCTTTGCTTTATGTACTGCACGAGCTATTGATCTGATGTATCAGGGACCTCAACCATATGCACTCTTGTGAAGCCTCATATAGAGCAATAATCTCTGAGTAATTAGATGAGATAGCAACTAGGGTCTGCTTAACATTTCTTCACAAAATAGGTGTACCTCCACAAAGGAAAACATAACCAATCTAAGATTTGACATTATAGGGATCAGACATTTAGCCAGGCATCTGAATAACCCACAATGTAATATCCTGGTTTTTCTCAAAATAGAAACCAAGATCTTTTGTACCTTGGAGATATATGAGGATATGTTTTACCCCCTTCCAATGTCTTCGGGATGGGAATGCACTAAATCTAGCAAGTAAATTTACTACAAAAGCAATAACTGGTCTAGTGTAGTTAGCTAAATAGAGTAAAGCACCAATAGCACTTAAATATGGGACTTCAGGTCCTAGCACATCCTCACCATCCCCTTTAGGCCTAAATGGGCCTTTGTCCACTCCAACGGACCGAACCACCATCGGAGTACTGAGGGGATGTGATTTTTCCATATAAATTTTCTCGAAGAGTTTATTTATATAATTTGACTGGTGTACAAAAATTCTATCAAGGAGATGCTCGATCTGCATGCTGAGACAAAACTTGATTTTCAGCAAGTCTTTCATTTCAAATTCCAATTTTAAGCATGAATATGCTTCCACAAGATCCTTGTGTGTCCCAATAATGTATATGTCATCAACATAGATAGAGATAATGCAAAAACCATCAAATGACTTCTTAATGAAGATACATGGACAAATATCATTATTTGCATACCCCTTCTTCAGGAGGAATTCACTTAATCAGTTATACCAAATTCTACCCAATTGTTTAAAACCATACAATGATTTTTTAAGTTTTATACCATACATGTTATGATTCTTTTTCTCCCTCGCAATAGGGTTTTCAATGCCTTTGAGTATTCTCATGTATATATCATCATCTAGTGTCTCATATAGATACGCGGTCACTACATCCATGAACTGCATATCAAAATTCAGTTTTACTGCAGTGAGATTAAATAGCGGAACAATGTGCCATCAATAATAGGAGAATATGTATGCTCAAATCAATTATGGGCCTCTGCGTAAACCCTTGAGCAACCAATCTCGCTTTATATCTAACCACCTCATGTTTTCATTCCTCTTCCGTACGAACACCCACTTGGATCATACTAGGACCACACCTCTCGGGGTAAGTACGGTGGAACCAAACATTTTCCTTTTATTAAGCGAGTTAAGCTTTGCCTCAATTGCCTCATTTCATTTTAACCAATCAAAGCGCTTCTGGCACTCTGTTATTGATTTTGGTTCTGGTTCCAAATTATCACGTGATACTTTAGAGGCAACCACGTAGACAAATGTGTTGTCGACGATTGTTAAATCTCTGTTATATCTCCTGTATCAACAAAGTGTATGACAGTTTATATATTTACATCTACCATATCATCGTCATTTCCCACATCATTGTGATTTAGATATTCCCCATCCCTAGTGTTAATATTATATGGAGCACGTGCATGTTCACTGGGTTCACTCGGTTCTCCGTCTTCATGACGATTGAGAATTTTTACTATTCTGAATTTATATCTTTTGCACCTTCTAGTCTCTCACGCTTCTAGTGATGGGGGGTTGATAAGTGCCGAAAGACACACATATTTCGGTTCTCCGTCTTCATGACGATTGAGAATTTTTACTATTCTGAATTTATATCTTTTGCACCTTCTAGTCTCTCACGCTTCTAGTGATGGGGGGTTGATAAGTGCCGAAAGACACACATATTTTGGGGGGTTGGAGCACGTGCATGTTCACTCGGTTCTCTGTCTTCATGACGATTGAGAATTTTTACTATTCTGAATTTAAGAAGACACACATATTTTGGGGTGTCTTAAAGAGGACATTTTATACTTGATTGATACCCTTTGTATGCGATTGTCTTAAAGAGGACATTTTATACTTGATTGATACCCTTTGTATGCGATTTATGATTGTCTATGCCTTTGGTGTGTGGGAATGTTCCTGACTATTATCTGTTCATAAACTACTTTTTCAACCAACTGAGTTAATGTTGCCTCCAATGCAACTCGAACCCACTCCCTTCCATATGAGAGTGTAACTCAAGTGCCATTAGACCACAAAGTCTTGACGATAAAAAATACTCTTAGTTATTACTCCGTATTACTTTATATTATTATTACTAGTATTTTTTTATACGCGATGCGCAAAAATAGGTGCCAAATATTAATAATTTATATTAAAATTTTAAATTTATTTAGATTTTAGATATTTAAATTACTGTAAATAATAATAATAATAATAATAATAATGTAAAATTTTTTTATTTATAAATTTGATATTTATATTTTAGAAAATAACTAACATATATCTTCAATATATAGTGTGTATATTATTATTATTACTATTATTATTATTATTGAAGAAGTTAAGAAAATATATGGTGAATGCATGTGTATGGTAACAATAGTGAAAAAGATAACGAAAATTATAACGGTATGAGTATATTTGTCCAAAATATTGTAAGTACAACGTTTATAGCATAATGTAAAAAATTTAACGAAAAAAAAGGGACATAAATGAAGGGTATAACCTTCATTCACACAATTAAGATCCCAATTAGGAGGGGGTGATGACATTTTGCTAGTATAACAAAAATAAGAATATAGAAGTGTAAGAATTTGAGTAATGTAAATGAGATTGGTGGTGAATAAGTGTAGTATGCAAACATTTATATATATATATATATAAAACATTAAAGTAGCCGTTGGCAACTATCCGTTGCTGCAACGGATAGTTGCAGCAACGACAACTTGGGAAACAATGGCCCACTGGTTTCAAAAATTGCACCACTAGGCCGCATTCCTAGTAATTTACAATAAATTGCATGAAAATCACTGGTTATGCCTGAAATATGACCCCAATGCGCCTTTAATTTTTTACTCGTTCTCCTTGGGCCACCGTTGGGGTGATTGTTGTTGTAATATGCTTCAATGCGGTTCCAAAATGTGTCACCCTTTTGCTCATTGCCCTTCCTTGAATCTTGTCTGATTGTGGAATAAGCACGTGTCAACATTTTGTCATCCTCGACATTCCATGCTTGTCGACGACTATCCGAATTTTTTGGTGGTGGAGTAATTGTTACTTCATTTTCGCTTTGTGTAGGAAAAAGGCGAAAATTGAGTAAATTGTATATTACCCGGAATTTGGCCGCTTGGTATGTTGATAGGAAATTGAGAAGACCCCGCATATGGAGAGTTTTGAAATATAGGCGAAAATGACGAAAATTGAAGATTACCCGGAAGTTGGGCATTTTGTGGAAATTGAGAGTTTTGTACAAATTGAAAATTTGGTGGAAATTGAAAATTTGTTTGAAATTGAGAATTTTGGGTAGATGGTTGAGAAAAAGAAAAATTGGATTGTGAATTTTGATTGGAAGTATTCTCTTTTTCCATTATGATAAAAGAAATTGAGAGAATAGTAGAAATGAAAAGAGAGTGAGATAAAATGTAAAAAAAAATTGTGAACACATGTGGTATTTATAGATAAATATATATATATATATATATATATATATATATATATATATATATATATATATATATATATATATATATATATATATATATATATATATATATTATTTTTTTTTTAAGTATCCGTTGCAAGCAACGGCCGAAAATGTGACCCGCCAAGGCAACCCAACCCTTCTCCTTCACGGGAGAAGGCGTCGCCTTCTCCAGTCGCCGGAGAAGGCAACCAGTTGGTTTCCTTCTTCAGTTGCCGGAGAAGGAAGCTGACCAAAAAAGCAGTTGGTCTGCCTTCTCCTTCGCCGGAGATGACAGCCAAATGACGCCGGCGAAGGTTTCGCCGGTTTTTGGTCGGAATGTTGTCGGAGATTCGTAGGGGTGTTCAATCGGTTAACCGTTCGGTTAACCGAACCGTTTTAACCGAACCGAAGTTTGCTCTACCGAATTCACCGAACCGAATTTTTTTTCGGTTAATCGGTCGGTTAACCGATTAACCGAACTTTTTAAAGCTAAAATTTAAAATTCTAAAAATAACACCTAAAATAATAAATTCAATTAAAATAAAATACATATCATAATAAATTCATAACAAAATATACAAAAACATTAATTATGAACTCCAAACATCCATAACTTCAAATTAGTATTTATATTTATATTATTATTTATATATATATTAAAAACTTCGGTTAACCGTTCGGTTAATTCGGTTAACCGACCTTTCGAACCGAATTAACCGTTAACCGAAATTTTAAAATTCCTTTAACCATTAACCGAACCGAAAAAGTTTGGTTCGAAAACGGTTAACCGAACTTTGTCGGTTCGGTCGGTTAACCGAAAATTATCCGAATTTTGCACACCCCTAGAGATTCGCCAGAATCTTTTTAATCTGTAATTGTAAGTCACCAACCGATTTTTAGACCTCATTGCTCTAAAATAATATGTTTAAGAGCTTAATTGCACCTTTTAAAAATTCAATGGCCTAATTGACTCCTTTAGTAATGTTCGGGGCCTATTTGACCATTTTCCCATTTTTTTTAACCAAATTATAATTCATTTTCTCCCTAATTTGTTACTCCCAAACCCTGTAAACTCAGGCCCCAGCCTCACCGTCGGCCGTCCGCCATCTCTGCTTCGTCGCCGTCCGGCCATCTCTGCTTCGTCCCCGTCCGCTCATCTCTTCTTCGTGGCCACTCGCATCCATATCCAGTGAAGACTGTGGAAACGAGTAATGACTATTGCCTTATCAATTTCTTTCGTATCTGCTCTTTTTCTTTCACAAGTATTTTTGGTTCATTATGTGCAACTCCGCATTCTAATTCTTTCACTAAACTTTTTCTAAGTAAATACACACCCAGGTCAGAAGATCACCAGCATGACCAAAATTATATCAAATTTGCAATTTCCTTATACATATACCAGGCTCTGATGTCAAAACTGAGAATGAAAAGGAAAGAAATCTGAAGGGAATGAAAAATTAAAATCACGCCCATAATGATGCATTGTAACATCATATTAAGAAAATTTGGAATCAAAATATTCAGGATTAGGGAAGTAATACGGAATTCTTACAGAAGGGAGCTTGGACAATTCGGATCTGAACAGTTTGGTGTCCTGCAGAGTGGTGTTGGGTTGTGAGACAATTATTACTTTGTATTGTTAGGGAATAATCAATAGTGTGTGGTTGTGAGAGTGTTATTTTGCTGAGGAAATTTTTTATTGGTTAATACTGGCTCTTTAGAATGCAGAAACTTTATTTCAACAGTTTTTAATTAATTTGTCACCTACATACTCTGCTCTTTTCTTTGACAAGTTATTCAAAAAACGGGGCAGGGAATCCCCGTCCCGGAAAAATCCCGCCCTGCTCCGTTGCCATCCCTAACTCAAGCTTTTTCCTGGTTTTGCCTCCGCTTGTACAGAGATTTGCCGTGCTGCCTGCACAAAGAGACACATAGGCTTCCAACAAAAAAAGAGCAGACAATTCACGGATCAAAGCTCGAGCTTTCTGATATCCATTATGCCAATCAAATGGTAACAATTTTACTGTTTTAGTTAACCAGTTTTCTTTTTCTTTTTCTAAAATGAAATCAAGCTTTTCACTGATTTATTATCTCGATTGGCTTCAATTGAGTATACCGATAACTGTGCATTGGTTTATGTTTGAATGTGTACATGTATGTCACTATCTGCATCTGGTTAAGGGTTTGCTTGTTTATTTTCTGTTTATTTTGATGAGCTTCAATTTGCATTGCACAACTCTCTGTATGTGTGTATTAAGAGTCCCATATTTAAAAATAAGAGAGAAACATATGGGTTTATAAGGTTATTGGGGTAGACTAGCTAATTGATTTAATTTTTAGTGTGGTTTGGCCTATGTGCATTACAGCCCAATTGAGTCCTCAGCCCAATCTTAGATTCTAAGATATTTGTATGTAGGTAAAGTGTTTGTTTGTTTATATTGCTAGGGTTTTGCACTGGCAACCGAATGCTGGCACAACAGTGAACACCCAAATCCTGACTGAGGTTTCTCAATGTGTTGAAGGCATTAATGGAGTCAAGGAAGGAAGGTGGAAAGCTACTCTCAGCTTCTACAAGCCAATGCTCAAAGGTTAGGGCTTTTCTATTTCACACTTTGATCACAAAATTGATCTTTCTTATTATTGCACTGTATATTAATCATACAGATATGTCTGTATTGAATGAAAAGGGTATTTGTATGTAAAAACAAAATTCAATTTTTGACAGATCCAACACCCCAACCCTTTAAAGGAAAGAGAAAACCAACAAAAAACATATTTTAAAGAATCTGTAATTATGCTTTTGAAGTTTTATGCAAAATTGCAGCATTGAATGAATATGGCAATTTGGTTTATTTATTGGAGATAATTGCTTTCATGCTTGTTTCGATCTCTATCTGAATGCACTGCTTTTTTCTGAGCCTATTAAACATTTTGTCTATAAGTTTTTTTATGTGCTCTAATCTTTTTTTACTGGTTTTCCTTACCAGACATAGCTAATGCAAATGAATTTCCACGTGACTTTTGGGGGATTTCACTTCAAGAGCAGCCTGACAAGTATTACTTTGTCATTAGAGGGCAACGGCTAGTTATGGAAGCGGAGTCATCAATTCAGAACATAATGGAGAAGCTTCAGTCTTATAAAACTAGGGTTGCACTTAATTTTGAGGTAGCTTGGATTGTGCAATTTATGAACTCCAAATTTCTCATTATGTCGCAAAATCTATGATTGAATTGAAAAGCACATTTTTTTTTTAAAAAAAATCATTTAATTATTAGGTGCTCATGATTCACCCTTGCAGAAGTGGTGAGGGATTGATAACCAGGCTATAACTACTCGCTTTTATTACTTATTCACATTGCTTGATGCCGTATTGTCCTCATTTGAGTAACTTAATAATAGAACCAGATACTAATAGGCTGGAGAAGGGTTTTATCGTTTTGAGCAAGTTTCGTTGTAAGCATGGCAAAGGAAGTTTACAAGTAATTTTTTTGCATCACCTGCCACCCTTTCATTGTCTTATTTTATTTTATTTAAATGAGACCCATTGCATATTTTCACATCTGTCCTATATTAGTTCATACTATTCTTGCTAAGGTTATCTTTATTATATTCAGGGGTTCCAATACCAACTTGGTGACTTCCGACTGCAAGTGGGAAAAGTTGTCCCAATCCACTCTGAGAACTTGAGGGGTATAGTTATGGAGGTACACTCTTTCTTTTTTTTCGTCCTTGCGCATACTTTTTGGGTTATATCATGATTCCTGAATCCATTGACTTGGGGTTCATATTTGAGGTTTTCTTGGTCACCTTTTCTGCTATGGAGATGAGTTTAGGCCAGTTTGGAACTATGAATTTTCTTTGAATTGATTTCTTTTAGTCTATGAAGTATTAAACTGAGGAATGTATTTGATAGATTCAAATAATCTGTACGTCAGTATATATACAAGTAAGGAACCTATTATCAAAAGGTATGACCTAAACTAAAAAGACATGACTTTTCTAATGTATTTCAACACTCCCCTCAAGCTGGAACATATAGATCATATGCGTTGAGCTTGTTACAAATGTATTTAATTCTAGGATGGACTTCTAAGTGACTTAGTAAGAATGTCTTCCAATTGATCAGTGGTGTTAGCATGACTTGTTGTAATCCATCCTGACATAATCTTTTCCCTTATGAAGTTACAATCGACTTCAATATGTTTGGTTCGTTCATGGAAGACCGGATTCATAGCAATATGTAGAGCTGCTTGGTTGTCATAGATTAATGTCATTTGTGTAAGATCATAATATTGTAGCTCTTGAAGTAAGTGCTTTAGCCATGTGAGTTCATATGTAGCAAGAGCCATAGCATGGTATTCAGCTTCTGCACTAGATCTGGCTACCACATCTTGCTTTTTGCTTTTCCATGAAATCAAGTTATCCCCAATGAGAATACAATATCCAGATGCGGAGCCTCTATCCAACTGCCCAATCAGCATCAGAGTATCCAATGATTTGAGTATGGCCTTTATCTTCATAAATCAACCCTTGGCCTGGTGTTTTTTTGATATATCTCAAAACTTGGATAGGAGCATCCCTATGATTAGCACAAGGAGATTCTAAAAATTGACTTAATACACTTACTGCGAAGGAGATATCTAGACGTGTGATTGTGAGATAGTTTAATTTTCCAATAAGCCTTCTGTAACTTTCTGGTTTGGATAGTGTCTCCCCCTGATTTAGAAGTAGTTTGATATTTGGATCCATAGGACTATCGATAGGTTTGCAATCAAGCATCCCAGTTTCTTCAAGAATGTCCAAAGCATACTTCCTTTGCGAAATAACCACACCATTACAGGATTGGGCTACCTAGATTCCAAGAAAATATTTTTAACTTACCCAAATCCTTAGTTTGGAATCTCTTTAAAAGATGTTCTTTGAGCTGGCAGCTGTCGTTGCCAGTAATCACAACGTCATCTACATATACAAGGTACATACACTTGTAACGCAGAATAGTCAACTTTACTTTGAATCATTCCAAATTGACTAATAACTGAGCTGAAATGACCAAACCATGCTCCTGGGGACTGCTTTAAACCATATAGAGATCTTCGAAGTTTACTAACCAAGTTAGACTCCCCCTGAGCAACAAACCCTGGAGGTTGCTCCATATAGACTTCTTCGTTGAGATCTCCATGTAAGAAAGCATTTTTAATGTCTAGTTGGTATAGAGGCCAATGGCTGATGGCTTCCATAGATATTAACAATCTAATAGATGCAATTTTAGCAATAGGGGAAAAGGTATCTGTATGGTCTAACCCAAATACTTGAGTGTATCCTTTAGCCACAAGGCGAGTTTTAAGACGGTCAACTGTGCCATCTGGTCCCATTTTCAGAGTGTAAATCCATCTGCAACCAACACCAGACTTACCAGGAGGCAAAGGAACTAGCTCCCAAGTACCACTATTTTGTAGAGCCTCCATCTCAGCCAACCTTGCTTGATGCCAAGCAGGATCAGAAAGAGCTTGATGGGTTGTTTTTAGGATAGAGACATATGATAAATGTGAAATAAAAGCATAATAAGGTGGGGAAAGACGATCATAATTCAACAAGGTATATATGGGATGGGGATTGCGAGTAGGACGTATACCTTTTCGTATTGCAATAGGTGCATTAGAAGGGTCATCATCAGATTGTAGTGCTTGATCTTAGACCAGGCGCAGGGGAAGATGATGTGATAGTTGAGGCATCATTTATGGCAATAGGAGTTTCTGGCGAGGCATTAGTGATAGGAGGTACATTAGGTCTAGGACGGCGATGGTAAACCTGTAATGGAGGAGTAGACTCTATTGTGGGTACAACTAGGGTTTTGGAGAAGCCCAATGGGACCAAATTCAGGAATGGGAAGGAGACAAGGAGTTCAGTAATAGCAGGGTTATTAAGTGACGGGAAGTATGAGGAAGATTCTATAAAGGTTACATCAGTGGAAACATAGTGACACTTGCATTCTAGAGAGTAACAACGATAACCTTTTTGGAGACGTGAGTATCCCAAGAATACACACTTAATAGCCCTAGCAGAAAGCTTAGAAAGACCTGGGGTCATGTCATGGACAAAACAAGCACTACCAAAGACCCGAGGGGGAAGGGGAAATAGATTGTGGGTGGGATAGAGGATGGAGTAAGGAACTCCATTTTTAAGAATAGATGAGGGCATTCTGTTAATGAGGTAACATGTTGTGAGAATAGCATCTGCCCAAAATTTGTCTGGCACATGGTTGTGTAGTAAAGGGTACGAGCTGTTTCAACCAAGTGTTTCTTTTTACGCTCTGCAACCCCATTTTGCTCTGATACCATGTGAAGTAATAAATTGAGGAATGTATTTGATAGATTCAAATAATCTGTACATTAGTATATATACAAGGAACCCTATTATCAAAAGGTATGACCTAAACTAAAAAGACATGACTCTTCTAATGTATTTCAACATAGTCTTCCCACATTCCAAGGAAAAAAAAAGGGAAAGGGAATACTTGTACGGATATTTGTCTAACGTTTCTGACCATATTTTCTTAAATCAGATTTGTGGGAAATTTTTAAATATATATTTTTGCTGAATGCTGATAACTGAAACAGTAACTAAAGTGACATTGTACTTTTATTGGACTTGAGATCTTCAAGTGCTTATCACTCTTTTCGCATTAAAAACTACGCAAAAAGGAATAGCGTTACATATATATTAGCCAAGGGCAAAGAGAATAGTTGAGAACATCCACAGCACAAATAAGAATTCCTGTTTGGAGGTCAATTCATGTGTGTATTGGGATTAAAGAAAAGGTAATAATTTGTAATCCTTATGTGACTAAGAACAATGTAGATAAAACTAGAATATAGAATAAGAAGTTTGGACTGGTGTGCTAACTCAAGTACATGAGCTTAATTACATATTCCACTAAGACGAAAACGAAATGAATTATGTAGTCTTTAAGCAGTTGTTCAGGCGTATAGTTTAGTGGTAAGTTATATATTTTCTGGGCCTAAAGAGTTATTGCTGGGATCAAGTCAAATAAGAGGAAACAAGATTATTTTGGTTCAAGTGGTAGATGACTGGCAGATTACTAATAAGCATAATGTTTCTTTTCTCGCAGATGGAGTATCTTCCCATTTCTTCATGGGAAACATCACACCAAATCATGGGTGAGTTCTTTGATATCTGGAAGGATGCTCTCTCGAAGAGATCATTACCAGGTCATTTTATGCACATCGAACCAAACTTCACAGAGTTTGGCCTCCCCGATCAGTATACTTCTCAACACACAGCTGTTCAGTATGCTTGTATCATGGCTCAAATGATAGCCACAGCTCAGTCAGCCGCCCAGATGAGAAACTAGACAAGGCAAGATCCTCATTCCATGTAGTCTTCTAGATGCTTTGTTTGTACAATTTGAGTATGAACCTTCTTTTGCATTTCAATGGGGATTCAAGCATGGAAATTATCACTCTTTTGTAAAAGCCTGGTGTTGGTTTCAGATCTTTCATTTTTCAAGCTAGGATCATAGCTCTTTTTTGAAGGGGGGTAATGAATTGTACATGCTTGTGGCAAATTTTTATGTGGACCATGAATACAAGATACATTTTTAATATACTAAAAGATATATTTTTTGTGTACTGAATGTACATTATTTGATAGCATACAAACTAATGTACTCTCAAATGATGTACATTATGTACACAAATAATGTACTTTTAGTATATTAAAAATGTGCTTTTTATTTGTGGTACACACAACTTTGTGGACCAGGGTCCATGCAATAATGATTGCATAATGTCTAACCAGCTTCAAATATGCATATCCAACTGGGCTAATCTTGTTCTATACTGCTGTTGTGTCCTTGATTTGAGCTGCTGAATGATGATTCAAAAAAGACAACATTTTGAATTCAATCTTAATTAGGGTATACTTAATTATTAAAAAATAACTTGTTTCTACATCATTTAAATACACAATCAGCAAACCACTATTTACATAACTACATGAGATGAGGTTAGGGAGTTATCCTGGATATGGCATTTCAGTCTATCTCTAAATTTGTATAGAGGATATTTAGCAATCGTTATACTTTGGATCATGGTTTACATTGCAAGTTGGACGGTTGACATGCATATTCATTTTTAGTATACTGAATGTTTATTTTTATTGTATTACATGTTCGTTTTAGCAAATTTATTTTTAATGTATTGCAAGTTCATTTTTAGTATACTACTTAAAAATGAATTTATAATACACTAAAAATGAATATGTATCAGTTGTCCACATTGATTCACGATATGATCTTATTTTAAATTCCTCTTACATATCTAGATTTTATTGGAGGAAAAAAATGAAATGAATAAAAATTGTGAATTGTAGGCGAGGCATGTTGATAGTGAAACCACTCTAAATAGTGATAAATTTTCTTTTCATTTTATTTATTTTTATTACAATATTTACTGAAATTTCACATTTAATGAAACACAAAATTGTTACCTTTTGTTTTTTAGATAAAAAAAAAATTTGTTACCTAGTAAATGAATTGCATTCTTGATTTTGATATACCTATATGATATCAAAATGAGGGGTTGACATAATGCTTCAATAATTCTCACTTGAATCATTTGCATATTTAAATGAAAAATATTATATGTACTCTCATTTTCTACTCTCAATTTTTATTTCCACATTTAAAATTTTGATTTAGACGCATTTACAGGAGCTTATATGAAGAAAATAACCTATCCGTGCCTGCTACATTAAGGAATAAATTTGAGAGTACATGTAGTATAACTATATCTAAATACCAGAAGAGAACTGTCCAAACCACCCAAAAACTAACACGTCTATTAAGAATTATTTTACAGAGCACATCCAAACAACATGAACCACCTAATTCAAATTGTCTATCACAACTTGGATTCCGCGAAGGGCGAAGAATTCCTTAAAACGATATGTAGTGTATGGCGCAACGAGTTGATAAGTGTCGGAAATGTAGATAACATCTCTAAAGTGAACAATTGTGTGTGTCAGCTAGGTAGTAACATCAAGATTTGACAAATTAGCCATAATTGTTGACAAAAACATTTGCAGTTTAGTCCTTAGATTTTAGGAACCCCTAATCTTCAACTATAAATAGGTAGTTCATTTGCCATTCTGATCATCACATTCCAATCTCATCTTGTATCTCTTTTGATAGCTTGGCATAGCAAATTTCTTGTAGAGATAGAAATAGAGAGTTATATTATAACTCTTATTGTAATATTATTTTGCCAATACAAAAATCATTCTTCAAATAGCCTTATTGTATGTATGATTTATTCTAAATCTTACACTAAAAATATTCTCAATATTTCCAGCCTAAGTTGCTATTGTAATTAGGTATTGTGAACCGTATCGATCCTAACAAGTGGTATTAGAGGCCCAGGTTGATTTATAGATATATCTTTATTGTATCGTTTATGTTAGAACTCATTCTGGTAAAGTGATTGTACATGTCTAGGAAAAGCTCTGGTTAAGACTTGGTATTTAAGCAGTCCATTTGTGACTCACCTCTCTTCTCTAGAAGTATTTTCCTGGTGTACTGTTCACAAGACCGGTAGTGTTCTATTATACGATACTATTTGAATATATTGTTCAGGATTTGAATCAAGAACACCACTTACAATGGCGACAAAGTATGAGATTGAAAAGTTCAATGGGAACAATTTCTCATTGTGGAAAATGAGAATGAAAGCAGTTCTCAGGAAAGATAACTGCGTAGCAGCAATTGAAGAAAGACCAACCGACTTCACTAACGATGCCAAGTGGACAGAAACAGATAGCAACACTATTGTCAATCTTCACTTAGCACTTACTGATGAAGTTTTGTCAAGTGTGACAAAAATGTACGGCAAAAGAGATATGTGATATTCTCGTAAATTTGTATGAGGCCAAATCACTGCACAACAAGATTTTCTTGAAGAGGAAGTTGTACACTCTTAGGATGATGGAGACATCCTTAGTAACTGAGCACGTCAACACTCTCAACACTCTATTTTCACAACTCTTGGCGTTGAGGTATAAAATAGAAGTGAATGAACGTGCTGAAATTTGACTCCAAAGTCTACTAGATTCATACGATCAACTCATTATCAATCTAGTCAACAATAAGGAGGTACTTGTCTTCGATGATATTGCAGCTGCGGTTCTTGAAGAAGAAAGTCGGCGCAAAAACAAAGAAGACAAAGTTGGAATCTCACAGCAATCTCAAGTTTGACAGTGACAAGAGGAAGATCAACGGAGCTTGGCTCCAGTGGGAGTCACAACCGAGGTAGATCAAAATCAAGGGGTAAGAAGAATGTCAAGTGTTTTCACTGTGGCAAAAAGGGGCACTACAAGAGTGAGTGTTGGTAGCTCAAGAAGGATGGGGGCAAAGATAAAAATCCCGAGACATCAAATGCTCAGGGTTGTGTTGTGAGTACATAAGATGGAGGCGAAGTTTTATTTAGTGAAGCAGCAACAATTGTTGAAGGCCGGAAAAGTCTAGCTGATGTTTGACTCATGGACTCCGGAGCAACATGACATATGACTTCATGAAGATAATGGTTTCATAAATATGAACATGTCTCTGGAGGATCAATCTTCATGGGAGATGATCATGCCTTAGAGATTGCTGGCATTGGTACTATCAAACTAAAAATGTTTGATGGTACGGTTCGCACTATCCAAGAGGTACGACACGTGAAAGGCCTGGAGAAAAATCTATTGTCTCTAGGACTACTAGATAGCCGTGAATGTAAGATCCACATCCAAGATGGAATCATCAAAGTAACCAAGGGCGCGCTTGTTGTGATGAAAGCTGAAAAGATAGCGGCCAATATATACATGCTTAAAGGAGAAACACAACTACAAGGAGAAGCAGCTGTTGCATCAGACAATCTTATAAAGGAATCAACGATGATGTGGCATCAAAAACTTTGGCCACATGTTCGAACGAGGTCTAAAGATTCTTGCGGATCAACATCTTCTTCCGGGGCTAAAAAAGGTTTCATTACCTTTTTGTGAACATTGTGTTATAAGTTAGCAGCATCGATTGAAGTTCGAGAGCTCCAAAGCAAGAAGCAAAGCTATCTTGGAGCTAATCCACTCCGATGTGCAAAACACCAGTTATATCCCTAGGAGGTGCAAAGTATTTTGTATCCTTCATAGACGACTACTCTAGGAGATGTTGGAGTATCCAATCAAGCGGAAGACGGATGTATTTGAAGTTTTCAAAATCTTCAAAGCGCGTGTGGAACTTGAATCCGAGAAATGGATCAATTGTGTGTGTCAGCTAGGCAGCAACATCAAGATTTGACAAATTAGCCACAATTGTTGACAAATACATTTGCAGTTTAGTCCCTAGATTTTAGGCTATCTACAAGATAACCCCTAATCTTCAACTATAAATAGGTAGTTCATTTGCCATTCTGATCATCCATTCCAATCTCATCTTGTATCTCTTTTGATAGCTTAACGTAGCAAATTTCTTGTAGAGATAGAAATAGAGAGTTATATTGTAACTCCTATTGTAATATCATTTTGCCAATACAAAAATCTTTCTTCGAATTGCCTTATTGTGTGTATGATTTATTCTAAATCTTACAATAGAAATATTCTCAATATTTTCAGTCTAAGTTGCTATTATAATTAGGTGTTGTGAACCGTATCAATCCTAACAATAAGTAATAATGTTACAATATTTTTCATGGCTCAAATCTTGTATGATATGTAACTCTTAGGCTTGACTCCAAGCCAGTGTTGATAGCAGAGATCCCAAGTTATATAGAGTTTGGTGTGTAATTTTTATGTATTCAAAATGAATGTGATCTAAAAATATTATGTTGGTCTAGTTAAAAGTTACAAATAATAATAGTAAAATATTACATTATAATAAATATATTCAAGATAAAAAAATATATATAGATTTAGGTAAGATGAGATCACCCCCCCCTCTCTCTCTCTCTCTCTATATATATATATATATATATATATATATATATATATATATATATATATATATATATATATATATATATATATATTAGTCTAAAAACAAAATAAGTCTCAATCAAAGTTATATCCCTCATTTATGTCTATATTTTTAATGCTAATCATTTTGTACATTGTGCTTTTAGAGTTGTACTATACAATTTTTTAGACAAAAATACCCTTACCGTTATAACTTCCGTTATCTTTTCCGTTACTTACCATGCACATGAATCTACCATATCTTTTCTTATATTCTTTAATTATAACAATATTTGTAAAACATTATATATTCATTATATATTAGATTAATATAATAAATACATTTTATTTCACATTGATTTTAATTAGTAAAAATTTGTTAGTTATTTTTAAAAATATAAATATTGGGCATATGTTTTTGCGCATCGCGCATAGAAAATACTAGTGTGTATATATATATATATATATATATATATATATATATATAAAAACTAATAATAAAAACAAATTAAATAGGAGTACAACAAAAATAAATGGTCCATATGTAAT